ACCACTTGACAAGACTCTTCTGCGTGGTATTTCCCTTTTCTCCCCCCAGCTGATGCTGGTGGTTTGATCGCGAGCGACTCCCTCTTATCCATCCATGGTCCCGCCCGCCGCACCTTACTCCCCTCGCAATACCACCCCCGAAACCCAAACACAGCAAGACCCGGATAGAACTCTGACTTGCTAACTCCCCGCTCATGTCGACGGCATCTACTCATTCCCGAGGCGTTAACCGACGGATTAACAGCATTCAGAATGAATCCCGCCATTCGCGCAGTCTCTCGGGGTCCCGTAGGCGGCCCGTCAACTCGTCGACTGCCTACAACTACGCTCTCCGGGTAGCCTACCTCGCCCATCTCCTGCAGCCTCGCTCGCGTCGTGTACAAAATGTACCGGTCCCCCAGAAACCTAAGAGGGCTTCCACCTCGTTTCATGATCTGATGAGCGATTTCTCCCTGGTGCGAGACTCGAAGAGCACTCGCATCCCCCATGGGTTCATCGCGGAGCTGGAAAAGAGGTTGACAGGTGTCCTGATCGGGAAAGAGAAGCGGAAAGAATATCAAGATACGCTGGTCGTGAGGACATTCGCTGCTTTTCTCAATACTCTGAAGGACCAATCGTTCAAAAAGCGCATGGAGAAGGACCGGCGGGCGGAAGACCTCGTCCTCATCTTCTACTCCAATGCTACCAAGGAACTGAGCAAAGGAAAGGATCCCGAAGATGACCACTGGAAGCTCATGGTAGACAGACACGTGGCGCTTTTCGTTCGCTTGTTTGCTCTCATTCTGAAGGATCATGACTGGGCTAAGGAGCGACCTGAACTGGCAAATCGGTTGTCGGTCTTAGAGAACAAACTACTTTCCCAAGATCAAGATCTTGTGCAGACCAACGGCGCTACTACTGTGGAAGTTGTTGCTCCCTTAAGTCACGATATCAAGGACATGCCACTTGTGCAGCATGTGGCAAGGATCTTTGACGTGAATTTGAGCCAGGTTCAGGCAGACATAGATAAGAATAAAGGGACCTGGACCGGGAAGGCGGCTCTTCAAGACCTGAAAGCCTACCAGGCCCACCTAAACCTCAAGACTCGGAAAACATTGTCTCGGGAAGACTTCGAGAACGAGGATGCGTATGAACTCTGGAAGAAGAATGAAGGTCCTGATCTGTCGCAGATGATGCTTGCCATTGTGCAGTCGAACCCGGAACTCGCCAAAAGCACCCCAGGGGGTGCGCTTCCACAGTTCAACCCGAATGGTAGTGACCAGGATCCGGCGGGGGAGCTGTCAAGGACGAACTCCGATAGGCCATCGTCGTATGTCATAGATCAGTCGCTGGATCTCAGCTCTCTGTCCTTAGGTGATGACGGCAGTGAGCCTTCAGACGAGTCCGATACGTATACATACATACCTCAGGATCCCCGATCTATGTACAAGTTTATTCTGGCTCAGACTCTGAGCCATGACCTGAAAGACCGCGAGATTGAGGCGACACAAGCGTCATCAGAGGTCCCATCAATGAAGCTATTTTCAAAGCAGTCGTCGGAGTTCCTCAATGAGGTCTGTCTTCGGTGGCGAATCCCGAATTTCTCCAGGATAGTCTTGTTTCTGGATGTTGTCCGATCCAAGTTTGTGGATAACGAAATTGATCTCAATACACTCGATTCGGCTTTCACTTTCGTGAAAGAATCGCCGTCTGCAGAGGGTAAGAGGCGGAGTAGCTTTATCGCTTCTGTTCTTTATGAAAGACATAGGTGGACGATTCATGACCTTCTGCTGATGCAGCAGATACTTTCCTCCCTTCACGAAGCTCTTCTACGGGAGTTGTATGATGTGATGATGGATTGCTACGAAGGAAAACCTCGGCCCATCGGTCCGGTGATGTACGTACTGGAGAATCATATTGAAATGGATCCCAACTACACCGAAGATTTGGAGGACATCGAGCGCTTCCGCTCATATGTGCAGGACGGGCTCGCACAGAAAGCGACTGAGAAGTATCAGGAGCTTCTGGGGCAGCTGATTCCAGTCCAGCCGGAATCCTGGGAGCTCGACCATGTTATCCAGCTCTGCGATGCCATCACTAAACTTGCGCAGAAGATCAAAAAGCGTTACCGGAAAAACCCAGAGATTATGGGGTAAGCAAACCTCCAACTCAGCACGTATATCCCTGCTTGCTCACTGAATCCTAGGGTCAACCCGTATCTCATCTTACTTTCAAACGTCCTCCCGATATTCTCCGAGGATGCCCACGAAATGGTGGTCAGAATCATTGAAATGGAGAAAGTGAGAGGTGAGGAAACCAACATTGAAGATGGTTTCGATTTGTACAAGCAGCTAGCGGATGTGCGTCATCTTTTCAAGGAGGCCCTTCCTGAGTAAGTTTCTGGACCAGTGACCATTCTGCAACGCATCGGTGCTAACTGCGCGTGCAGTGTCCCCTTTCCGTTCCACATCGAAGGCCTGATGGAGGAGTTCGTTTGGCGGTGGATCCGCTTAACCGACAAGAAAGTCGCAGATTGGGTTGAACAGGCAGTCAGACAAGACGCTTTCGCCGTTCGAGACGACGGAATGATGGAAGTGGTTCCGGAGGAAAATCGACACAGTGTGTCTGTGATCGACATATTCCGCTCCTTCAACCAAGTCGTAGAGCAGATGATCTCCCTCGAGTGGGACGATGATTTCCAGTACGCCAAGTTTATGACGGCTTTGTCCAGGTCTATTGGGAGCGGAGTGGCGAGATATTGTGAGTCCCTGGAGCAGATGTTCGCTAAGGAGATGGATCGGCTTTCGCCCGATCAGGAGGCGGCTATGAACCAAACCGCTCAAGAGAGGATAATGCAGCTGGCCAAGGAAGCATGGACGAGCAAAGAAAAGATCGAACCCTTTCAGTTCTTTCCTGAGGTACGTTCGTTCGACAATGCGTGTGTCTACCTGACTAATGAAGAATTCTAGTCGTTGGTCAAGCTGAACAATGTCGAATATGCCCTATCGCAGCTCGACAAGCTGGAAAACGAGGTCAATGTGGATGGCTGTGCAGAGGTCATCGCAAGACATGCTCAGCCTCAGCTCCAGAAGATTCGCAAGTCTACGACATATGTTTTCACCGTCAAGGTGGTGGAAGCAGAAGATTTGAAGGCGTGTGACATGAACGGAGGGAGCGATCCCTACGTCGTGCTGGCCGACGAATATCAGAAACGTATAGCCAAGACTCGCATCATCTACAACAATCTCAATCCGCGGTGGGACGATGCTGTTGACATCACCACGCAAGGCCCGGTTAACATTATCGCCACCATCTGGGATTGGGATGCAGTCGGAGACCATGACTATGTGGGACGGACTTCTATCAAGCTTGACCCGGTCCACTTCAGCGACTTCCTACCAAGGGAGTATTGGCTTGACTTAGATACCCAAGGCCGACTGCTGCTTCGCGTGAGCATGGAGGGAGAACGCGACGATATCCAGTTCTATTTTGGCAAGGCGTTCCGGACGTTGAAGCGGACGGAAAGAGACATGACTCGCAAGATCACGGAAAAGGTAAGATAGCAGACCGAATGGAGCACCTCTAAAGCTGTTGCTAACATCGACTTCGCAGCTTTCCGCGTACATTAGTCACTGTTTATCGCGTCGGACGCTAAAATCATTGCTGTCGCGCGGGCTCAGTATTTCGAGCGTATCCAACTTCCTGAACCGCAATCGAGCGCAATCCACCACCGCCACCCCATCGAATGCAGACGTGGAAAATGCGCTGACTCCTCTCTTTGACTACTTCAATGATAACTTTGCAATTATGAACAAGACCCTCACCTCGGAAGCCATGAAGATGGTCATGGCACGTTTATGGAAGGAAGTGCTGGCCACGATCGAGAGCTTGCTGGTGCCCCCATTGTCCGACAAGCCCTCTCACCAGAAGCCCCTCACCATGCAAGAGGTGGATGTTGTCTCACGCTGGCTCGTGCTTCTTCTCAACTTTTTCCACGCCATTGACGAAGAGACGGGCGAAGCTAATGGCGTTTCCATCGATATCCTGAAATCACCCAAATACCACGAGATCCAGACCCTGAACTTCTTCTATTTCGAGCCTACTGAACAACTGATCCGCACTTCTGAAAGGATGGCCTCTGCGACAATCTCTCGTCAGCAGGCTAACAAGAACCGGACCTCGGCGCCACCACACCTGGGTGCTGCAGGGTCTAGCAGCATGCTGGGTGTCCCCAGTGCACGTCGTGCTAAGAGTATCATGCTCTCACGCAACCTTGGCACAATGAAGAAGATGAAGGAGGAGAAATGGCGGGAGGCGCAGGCCGAGCCGAATGACGATATGATCCTGCGGATTCTGCGGATGCGTCCCGAAGCTGCGGGTTACTTGCGCGATCGCAGCCGGCAAAAGGAGCGACTGGCAGCTGCCGCAGCTGCAGATGCCATTGTAAAGCAGAGTCTAATGGCAGGAGCTGGAGGAAGAATGACGGGGACCCTGGGGCGACGATGAAGGTAGTAAGACCAAACATTCGTGGCGTTCTTCTATGTACTTGTTGATTTTCTTCACTTTTGCGATTCAGCATTATGTGGCATTGTTTGGCCTTGATTTCGCTTGCTTTCTCTTGCTTTCTTTTTTTTTTTTTTTTTTTTTTTTTTTTTTTTTTTTTTTTTTTTTTTTTTTTTTTTTTTTTTTTTTTTTTTTTTTGATATGGACGTGATGATTCCCAAATCTAGTTTGTTTGCACTTTAGGGAGCGCTGAGCCTACGGTTGGACGTCGATTGGGAAGTTGCGTGATATTACAATAGCATAATCGTTTAATCAGCAGCCATGACCGATTATTCATGACATGATCGTAGGCCAGGATTGGAATAGCAGGAGATCTTACCTCAATTGACCATGGTAAGCTGGGATATGATCTCGGGTCCGGCAAGACATCCGAAGCAATAGCCATACATTTTTTAAAATATTTGAATTCAATCCCATTTATATACACTCGGCTATATAAATATAGAGAAAGGATCTCCCTAAGCAAGAGCAATACACTCAATCTCAACAGGCACACCCTTAGGCAGCTGCTTAACAGCAAAGCAAGAGCGAGCAGGCTTGTGAGCAAAGAACTTGGCGTATTCCTTGTTCATCTCATCGAAGTCGGCCATATCAGCGAGGAGGACCTGTTCGCAATACCCGAAACATCAGCCCAATCATTCATTCATTCCTTTCCTACAAACGGAGGAAGGAAGGAAGGGTATATATACGCACCGTAACCTTGAAGATCTTCTCCACGCTAGAGCCAGCCTCCTCGACAACAGCCTTGATGTTCTCGCAGCAGAGACGGGTCTTCTCCGTGACGGAACCCTCAATCAGAACGCCGTCCTTGGTAAGGGGGATTTGACCGGAGAGGAAGATTTGGCCGTTGACTTTGATGGCTTGGGACTTTTATTATTTGTATCATGTTAGTGTGTGGTTGTTGGGGTGGTCATGGTGGTGGGGGGGGGGATGGAGGAAAGGATGGTGGGGTTGGATTTCTCTTACGTAGGGGCCGACGGCTATAGTTGGTTCAATTGCTGTTAGCTTGGATTCTCTTAGGGGTGGTAATTGCGGTTTGTTTCTTGGGGAGTGTCCTTTTTATCTTGGACAAGAACACCAGAAACATGGAAGAGGGGTAATGAATGCCACTGCATCTCATGCAATGGCAAAAGGTGGGGGTGGGAGGAGGAAGCACTTACGCTGGGCGGCGCCAGCAGTGTGGACGATGTCAAGACCGGTGGACATGGTGACGAATTGGTATGGGATGCGAGTTGGGAGACGAGAGAGATGGAGAGGAGAGTGAAGACGGGAGGGAATGAGACAAGAGGAAGTACTGAGACGGGAGAGAAGGAGTCGAGAGGTAGCGGAGAACATGAGGGGAAGAGTTGGGAAATGGAGAGATGCTAATTGAGGTTCCCAGATGTTTCCGCGGAAAAGTCACCAATCCAGGCCCGCCCCGCCCGACATCGGTGGAGCTGGGGCCGGTGAACTCTCGGACATCTATGTACCTATCTATCTATCTATCTACGTATTCAGGTGAAGATGTATAATAGAATATTATTATCAGGCTAGGCTAGGCTAGTGTTGACACGAGTGTATAAATGGAATGCAGTGCGGCAATCATAGTCCAAGTATGGAGGATGTGGATCATCATGAGCAGGAGGGAGTCATAGCATCGTGATACAGTATACAAGCAACAAGTGGGGGATATCAACGCGAATATACAAGCCAGGAACAATCAAATCATCTCATCTGGTCAACCACTTTCTAGGATAACCCCATCGCCCCAAGATTGCTCAACTGCTGCATGAACGCAGCTGTCTGATCTGCGGAAAACCCGAAGAAGACAGGCCCGTTGAACACAATGTTGGCTGGTGGTTTATTCGAAGGAATGGCAGGATCATTGGGTGGTCTATCATCCTTCCGCTCAGCAGGTCCGTCGACCTTTTCCACCTTAGCAGGCGTAGGAATGGTCTCCATCTTGGGTGGCGGTTTGTCACCGGAGGGCGCACCATGTCCGAAGGGGCATCGACCCTTCTTGGGCGCACTGCCGGGAGGAGCCGGAGCCGTGTTACCAGGCGGCGGCATCGAGGACAAACCTGCAGGCGCGGCATTGGGAAGCTTGGTGGTTACCGCATCGATTGAGGTTGCAACCGGTGCAGGCGGAGGGGATTGAGGGGGTGATGCGGTTGGAGGTAGAGGCGACACCGGAACAGGGATCCCCCAGGGCCGGCTTGGGGATTCGCCAACACGGACTTCACGCAAGGGACGGTCGAAATGGCCCTTTCTCTCTTCATCCTCATGTTCGGCCGCCGCCTCTTCCTCCTGCTCTTCTTTAATGGGAGGATGCATGTCCGACTTCAGGTCAACTTCCTGTGCCCATTTCTCCACCCTTTCTGCGGACGAGCTAGAGGGTGCCGTGCCATTTTGACTCGGCTCTGGTAGGAATGCTTTATGTTTGGCAGACAAGCCCTGGATCATATTGATAAGGCTACCGTATTTTGCATCAAGCTGCCGCATGGTCTGACCGTCCCGCTGGTACCGTTGGACACAAATAGCATGACTTCTAGGGATCTCATGCTTGTGCCTCTCAACATAGTCGGCGATCTCCTCCGGACTATGCTGGTCTAGATACCTTATGGGACAGCGAGAAACCGGGCAGCGAGTGGCCGAAGACCGCGTCGAAGGAGCCCGACTCGAGCGTTTATCACTCTGCTCAGCCTTGATGGGGTCTAGATCGGCATGTCCGCACGCATCCCCGTTCTGATCCTTAAATGAATTGTGCGTCCCATTGGACACCCCATTCTCAGAGGTCTTATTGTTATGCTTCGCAAAAGGACAACGCAAACTTCCTTGCGTGCCCTTGGTAGTGAAGTCTTTTTCTAGGGGAGCAGGCACTCCGGCTCTCGTCGCCACGAGGCAAGAGTCGAACTCCGAGAGCTGCCTGGACTCGTGTGGTGGTATGATAGATTGATAACATGTCAGCCCTTCCGTTATAGCGGTCAGGGCAAGATCTCCTACGTTTCCAGACTCGGCCAGCGCCTTTACTACGTCCGGAGGTTTTATGTTTGGTTTGGGTTTGTGATCGTATTCCGTATAACGACCGAGGATTTTATCCGCGACGACTTTCGTATGACCATCGACTCCACCGGGGAGTTTTCCTGCGAGTTTCGAGTACTGAGAGCACGTTAGCATATGTATTCAAATATACATAGACGTAAAATAGTGCAAGTGTGTCAAGTCTCATCAGATAATACATGACTTATCCGTCACCGCCGCAGATGCGACTCCTGATCTAGAGCTAATCGGTTTTTCTCGTCCTTTGAGACAGCAGGGGGGGGGGAAGAAGGGACATAATATGAGGGAATATTTACCTCGTCGGAGGCATATTTCAGCCTTTGCTGTAAGCTCTTCTCCTTGCAACTCAGTTGTTGGGTGGTGAGCAACAGAGCTTCGAAAGCCCTGGCCAGGGTTTCCAGCCGCTGGTCTTGCTGCATTTCTGCAGCGATGGGTGCAGGAGACATCATGAGTCAGGGTTAGGTGTTACAGTGTGATAGATATCTGTACATCAGATGATCTGGCAAGGCACTTCTGCAATGAGCAGAAGTGCGCAATGAGAACATCAAAGGGCGAGTGAGCCGGAGGAGCAAAATAGCCTCAAGCCGAAATAAATAGGCGGAATGTTAAGCGAGTTGGCCCGTGCTTTGCCACGTGACGCGTGCTGTTTTGGGAACAACCCAGATACCGGGATCCGTATCTGTCCTCCGTAGTGACGAAAGATGCTGCAGTGATTTTGAATGGCGCGTCTGCGAGTATGTCGAGGGGTGAGGGCGTAGTTGGTGCCTAAGAGTGATATAGAGTAATATAAGGCTGGGCAGATCAAGTACGGAAGAGATAGTGTGCTGGTGGTGTGACATCAGGCATGCATTTGGCGGGTCTCGCTGGCGGGCTGGCCCGGTTGGAGGCATTTGTTGGATGCAACTCGCTGTTTGTTCCGACATCGACGGCATTGGTCTAGGGCGTTTCTTACTACATGATGGTAGCGGTGTTGAATATTGCTGTCGATTGGCTAGGGATTCCATCATCGTTGGCCGCTGCTATCCGGTGATTCAGCCGTGGCGTGCTCATGGTTCGTGTGTAGCGACTACAACCTTATTAGCTTTTCCCTGCTTAGTTTGGCTTGCTTCTTGCGTTGATCGCCAATGTGTGGTAGAACAATTTATACTAGGAACCGGGTCATGGTGCACGATAGGCCACTAGGCTATCCAGCACATTCTGTCAACACCATACCGAGTTGAAAGGTAGTACCACTACTAGTATATATAATTTCCTTCATGTAAGAGGGTTCCATATCCATTCATTGTGGCATAGAAGTACCATGCCGACAATGGACGAATCAATCGAATTAGAGGGATTAGAGGCCATGACTTAATGGGTGTCTAGTTCAACAAGAGCTGCTAGGCTAGGCCTTGCAATAGTATCGAAATTGAACCCATGGGAAGTCATATTGATAAAAGCAAGCTTGATAAAGACTGTATAGGAATATAGAGCCATATTTTGCCCCGGCATTCAACAAGAGCAGCCCGGCTAGCTCAATCGGTAGAGCGTGAGACTCTTAATCTCAAGGCTGCGGGTTCGAGCCCCGCGTTGGGCTTTCCTTTTTTTGGTTTGTTTTTTTATCTTCCTCCCCCCTCCATCATGATGAACCAATACCAGCCAGCCATCAACAAACAATGGCAGATTCCACTACACACCCGCCACTGCCTCGATAGGTAAACCTATATATGACCCCTAGCCATCTCTTCCACTACACTTATATCCTTATACCCAGTACTACTTTGGACCCCTCGGCCTGAAGCGCCCAGTGCACACATCGGGGATGCGGTGGGATGTCCTCATCGGGAATTCCGCACAAACCCCGTCCCTACAGCTCGTCAAGGTATCCTGTATGCAGCATGTACTCCGTACCGCTCTGGCGCAGCGCACACGAGGATGCCCGAAACGCGATGATTTAGTCTAGCCGTAGCGTGCAAATCTGGACCGCCTGTTGCGGCCCGGACTGATCAGGAAACCCCGACCAGAAGACGGCCAGCTATCCGTGCGTACATGGTGTGTCTGCGCCATGCATTAGTAGCATGCATAATGCTACCGCACCTTGGCTGCAGAGTGCCTACCCGCCGTCCACCTACGTAACTGACTGCCTCTCACGTAGCTCCCGGGAAGGAGGGCGTAATTGTAGGTGTACCATCCGGGTTCCAAGTACACATTCGGCAGTACGACTATCGTAATATTGCTGTACCACAGAAGCCTTCCAGAAGTTCTAGAAGATACATGCAGGGGAACATTGCGTTTGCGACGCGAGATTGGAAAAGAGACCATAGGACAGGATGTCCTTGAGGACCAATGTCGACGCTGTGATTGCACACGCACATGTGCATCAGAAGTTCCGGACTTCCTCGGATATGCGATTCGGATAACCCTGGTTGATTCCAACTGATGGTACCTGGATTGGCAAGGAACGTGCGCGTTGGGTTGTATCGGTCGTCGAGCCGGGTTGGAGTGCCGTGTGAGCGCATAATTAACTTCAATTTGACCTCATAATTTGTTTATCGGTTGAGACCAATCGCCGAGTTACTTTAGTTGCATATGGTGGATACACTAGCTTGCATACTCCGGGATTGAAGTAGGTATGGCGAAGCCTCTGCCCACGCCTTCCAAGTTAACGCGACGAAATATCAGGGACAGGACCGGCCGTCAGTTGCATTTACTTCATAATCCTAGCCCCAATGGAACGGGTCAGTGACAGCAACATTGTCGCCTACCAAGAGACACCCATCAGTACGGCAGTCACGGAATTTGTCCCTTATGAGATTAGAGGCAGCTCATCAGCACGAAACCGATTCAGATCTGGTGGGCGAAGCCTTCAAATGCGTGCTACCATGCCGCTATAACCGCTGTACTCCGGAAACCGGAACCTCAACAGATTTTGGTTTAGGTAACCCCCAAACCCTGAGCCATAGGGCACAGTGAGCTAACGGAGCTAGTATATCACCGGGGTGATGCATCAGAAACGCCGCATCACTCAGCCAGCCTGTAAGCAACGGGCTTCTCGAACTTGGGGCTTCCTTAGGATATCTCGCCATCATTCCTACCAAAACACAGACCCTAGGACAAGGTCGAATGGGACATCAGCTTGCGAAGGCAGACCCCGCTGGCATGGAAAATCTAATGCGACAATAAAGAGCGATTCCGTAACAGGATGATTGTCAGCCACCAGAGATTCGTCACTCAGACGAGGCCGGGGCCATTGGAATAAGCCAAAACAAATCGAGGCGACGGGCCACAGCACACATTGGTTAAGCCATGTACCCCAAAGAGAGAAATCGTGTAGGCAGCGTGTCACGAACGCGAGTGTATAGGGAAAGATAAGTAAAAATTAGAACAATCAAGGGAAACGAAGAAGGAAATTGCGCCGATCAGCTTAATGGCATACCTGTCACCCAAGGTGATGCAGAGGAGGAGTTGATAGGTAGCGGGCCCGACTGAAACATGCTCTAAGGGAGACCGATGAGAAGACTAGACTAGATAAGTATGAAGGTAGCCTATCCCCAAACAACCACCGGAAACTGCAAGACCATTGGCGAGATGGGGATGCTGCAGGTCCAGTAGTCACCGCCGGTGCTCCTAATTAACCGGTGATCCGGTAATTTACGAGCCTTGAGGGGGGAAGGGGATGGCGGGCCAGCCCATCCCAAGTTCGATAGTTGGAGACTATCCTGGATGAATCCTCTAGCGCGTCCGTCGAGCCAGCAAATCGCCAGGCTTATCGTCTAGTGCGAGCGACCACAGCGGTGTGGCCAACCGGTTCTTGATCGTTCCCGAGCTCCATTTGGATGGTCCAGTATTTTCACGTGTGGCCTGGACGGGGTCTAGAAGCCGGCGATTCGATCGATGGTGGTTGTGGCTGTGAATGCTGATGGCCTCTTAGACCAGAGAAAATCTGGCTGCCACTGTCACACCACGGGTGAGGACGTAATGAAGCGCATTATTTATAGAATGGGATTGCGAACCGCGGGGACGATCAGGCGGTGGTGATTAATGTAATGTTGCCCGTCCCGGGGGGCAAAAAGCAGAAAGGTTATCCGCTCGGCTTAAGGATGGAGTCAGTCCAGCACAGCATGACGATCCCCGGCGGTGATTAACTCCACCGATAGACAGTGGTCGGCACAGAGCAGTCAGGGCCTGTCTAGTGGATTGTTTCAAGTATCTCGTAGGTGCCTTACTACTACCCACCTGGGTAGGGGAAGAGGTACAACTGGCAGAAATCAGACATCTACACCGTAAGTCGCTGCAGCAGAAAGAATGGTAGGGTAACAAAGTAGTTAATTAGTAGGAGTAAATATACCTCGCTGGTCAGTACCAGTAGATAGTATCAGGTCGAGGTCCCAGCGCAGTTGACTCGACCTATCCACTGGCTGATCTCCCCACGCGAGACAACTCTGGCAAAGACCCGATAGAGACAGGGTGAGCCAGTGAGAGTAATGAACAGCGCGAGGGGTGCATAACCTGGAATCAGTGACTTGCATCATGGCGCCATTGGCGTAGTACGACTTTGGACTGGCTTAAGACGGTTATACGCGATATAGTTCAGCCCGGAGGAGGGGGTGTCCCTCCATCCACGGAAGAGATTGGACTGCGCTCTGAAACAAGAGGCGGATGATGCATTGAAGATGAATGGATGATAGTGCCAACGGATCACCTCACTGACTCACGTTCTGACACCCTTCCAGATGGGCTGATTGTAAACCAGTTGAAAGTCTGGATGCTGGCACAAAAAGGTTCTCGACTTCTATTGATGGAGGAGGGGTAACCTGTTCCACCGTTTACCATACATATCACCTGCATGTTCGTTTCCATACATTACCCGAGCTGCATGTGTCGTCTGTCCAGTCATACTGCTTCATAATGCCATGTTTATAATATGTGCTACAGTAAGTCTCGTAGAGATTGTAATAAGATCTTGAATCTCTTCTGGTCTATGTATAACCTTTATGATAATTACCAAGTATGCTGGGGATTCCTCCCCCCGAACTTGACAAGTTCCAGCAATGGTGTGCAGTGATGGGGAAGGGGAGCTTACAGAAATATGACAATACCACAGAGATAGATAACTGTAATGTGAATACCACCAGATCTTCACCATAATTTTCTTCTTTCCTGTTTGGAACATTTTTCCCTCATATTTTCCCCTCCTTCGTCTTTTTCGTTTCTTTTTCTTTTTTTGCTTATCACGCCGATTTCACTATTTTTACCTTTTTCGATCTTCCTCACCCCTCACCTCCTGGTCTGCTTTTGCTCCCCTCCTCCTTCTGCTCCTCCCCCCCCTTTTTTTTAGTCTCTCTTATTTCTTCCACTTCTTTCCTCTCCTTCTCTTTCACCATGTCTCAACCAACTTCTACCCCCCCCGTGCAACCTCCTCATGCCACCACCGCCGCCCAAGTCGCCGGACAGCCCTCCTCCTCTTCCGCCCGCACCGCCGAACTCGCCAGTCTTAAAGTAAAGCTGCGCGAGGCCCTGCGCCAGTTCCCCGACTTCCCGTCCCCGGGCATTTTGTTCGAAGATATCCTCCCGATCTTTGCTGATCCCGTTCTGCACGAATCCCTGCTCCGCTGCCTGGAGCTCCACATCCTCGAGAGCAACGGCGGCCAGAAGCCCGATGTCATCGTTGGCCTGGAGGCCCGTGGCTTCCTGATGGGACCTAGCTTGGCCCTGCGCATGGGTGCTGGCTTTGTCCCTGTTCGCAAGCAGGGCAAGCTCCCTGGTCCTTGCGACACCCAGGGCTATGAGAAGGAGTACGGCACGGACTTCTTCCAGATGCAGTCCGATGCGATCAAGCCCGGTCAGAAGGTGATCGTCGTGGACGACATCATTGCTACTGGTATGTTTACTATTATCCCCTCTCTCTTGGTTTTCATCCTTTTCTTTTGTGCGAGTATGGTTGCTGATCAACTGAACTAGGTGGTTCGGCGTATGCGGCCGGTGAACTCATCAACCGCAAGGGTGGTGAGCTGATGGGCTTCGTTTTCCTCCTCGAGCTCGAGTTCCTTCATGGACGGGACAAGCTGCCTGCCCCCGTCTACACCCTCCTTACTGGCCAGGAGACCAAGGCTTAATGAACCTATGACATGCATTCGAACAATATTCTTACCTGTTTGGAGGTCTGCACGCACAAAAACAGAAAAAAAAAAGAACTCTCACACGCGCTCACTCGCTACCACTCACCTGGGAAGTGGTCGGTCATGCCGCAGACTATGCGGCAGCAACCCTACCGGGTTTCGCCAGAGATCGCTACGGAATCGATCGCGTCGACTAGATGGTCGACATGGGACATGATAGACAAAGCAATTGAATCCCCACTCGCCGGGAACGGCACCGAAACGAACGTGACGTGTTCTCTTCCCCAGGGCTATAAAAGTTGAAACACTTGATCTTTACTTTATTCTACACGAGTCGATGTCAGTCAGGCGTGGCTGCATTTTTTTTTAACGTTTTTGCATAGACTATGAAATAGCAATGACACAATGAAATGTAATAATACGCTAAGCCTTATATTATAAGAGATCTAGCAAGACATCTATGTCTAATCTATACCAGTCCAGCTAGTTAGTTCAAAGGGATGGCCGGCCTCATGACCTCCTCCGCCCACTTAGCAGGCAACCCCAGAGCCACCGACTCACGAATCGCTCGATTCATCCTGGGCACATACTCCGCCTTGGGCGGACCATTCCTCACCCTCTTCTCATCAACATACACCAACACCGGCACCATCTCCGCCTTATCACCATCCTTCTCACCAAGCCACTTAACCACCTCCGCCTCCACAACCCACTTATTATAACACCCATGTCCCTGCTCCTTCTCCCTCACCATCATCCTCCCATCCTCCATATTGATAACTTCCGCGTCAGGAGCAGAATAATCGACCCCCTCAAACCCATCCAGAATCTTCTCATCCTCTTCCCCCATATCATACAACACACCGTACACGGCATCCTCGTCAGCGCCACCCGCAACACCAACCTCGCCGCTCGAGATGCAGTCTGCTTGTTGCTTCGTGATGCACATCTCGGAGGGTGGGACCACGTTGGCGTATCCGCGCTCGTGGATCAGCCAGCGCCATTTGGGGAGGCGGGCGATGGCGAGCGGGATAGAGGAGGAGGGGAGGGCGGTGCAGCGGGTAGCCATTTGCGTGGGGGAGAGGTTGGAGCCGTAGGCGAAGTAGAGGGGTTTAGTTGTGGGTGGTGGAGACGGGGTTGTGGAGGTGAGTTCGGTGAGGGTGGTTGTGGCGGTTGTGGTGGGTTTGGCTGCGGAGGTGGCCGTGGTGATGTTGATGAGGGTGGAAGGGGTGGTGTCGACGTCGAGGTCTGTGTGGAGATGCATTTTGATTTTGGTTTGTGGTGGGTTGTGTAGTAGTAGTAGAGAGAGGGATAGGACTGTTATAATAGATATATACTCGAGGAAAGAGTGAAGAGTAAATACTAGTACTCAATGAGTGTTCGGATATATAGTACCAGAACCAGTCCAAATATGTATATGTATAATCAAATAGACAAGTAAATCCTTGTTATTGATTCAGATCTAAAGATCTCTCGCTCTACCCTTAAAAAGAAAAGAGAAAGGAAGCAGGTATTTATAACCCTTCCCACAGCCCACTGCCACACACACCCCCCCAAATCAGGGACACATTCCAAACCACGTAAACCTTAAACCTCCTCGCTTTCATTTGCCATCCCGCCTTACATTTTGCTTTTCGTCTATCGGCAGGGGTTTTCTTATCCGTTGCTCCACGGGGGTTTGAACCAATCGGCAAGTAAACCTGCCCCACCGCCACTTCTTCAAGCCTTCAAGCCTTCAAGCCTTTCAAACATTCGGAACATCTGAAGGCTGAGCAGCTGAGTCATCTGGTTCCCCGTGGCAGCCACAGCCAATACTTTGCTTAACCATTAATCTTAATGGCGACATTTGACGTGACGCCGGATCTCGGTTGTGGAGGGGGGAGGGCCACCGAACGATTGCCGATCGATCGGGGTTTTCCGTCCGGAGGTGGCGAGGGTTGAAAATGAAGATCAGGGTGTTTTTGGTATGTCATCATGTCATTCATGGTATGTATGTATGTATGTACGTATGTCATGGGCATAGTGTTTGGTATGTCAGTATTCCCAAGGTGGAGGGAGGCGGGAGGAGTGACGTGTACTGAGAATGCTAGTAATATGTTATGACTAGGATGAAAAGCTATGCTATGATGCTATATCATATAGGTAAACTCGCTGCAATGGGGGCATGTGCTAGGGTCACACATATCTTTCTCACAAAATATACAAATTATTGATGGGAACTCCCTGTGATCGCACCGAATATCGCCGTTTAATGCCCACCCCCGTGGCCTGTCGCAGTAGCTCGTATGTTTCTTGCCCTCCGCCTACCATGACTACGCTGAGCAGCTGGCGCCGCGGGACGCCCGCGGCTGTCATTTGCGTCTCTTCCAGATGGGGCCGCACCAGATAAGGTTCCGCGCGGACCGCAGCTAACCCCGGGGTCGTGGTGGTGGTGTCGTCTGATTCCTCACGCTGCTCCTCGACTTCATCGTCGTAGGAGACCACGATGACTAGTTTCAGGGCGTACCGAGAAGGCGGATACGCGGCAATGTTGCGCAGCTTCTGCGAAAAGTTGCACCCGCCTCGCTTGATCACGAGGACCTGGTGGTTCTGTGCAACTTCTCGTAGGATGCGGTTGTCGCAGAGCTCGTCCGCGAAGTAGATGCTGTTCCATGTGAGGCGTTGCTTGGAAGGGTCGCCCGTGATGGAGACTGTCGTGGCGTCTTCCACGTCGGGGAGCGGGGCCGAGCCGAGTCCCGTGGAGATGGCGGCTGGGAGCAGGAGACGTAACGAGGTGGCTTTCTTCTGCGGCAGGCTGGTCTGGCCCTGTACTTCATCCCGAAGGAGTGTAGATAGAGTGTTGACTAGCGAGGAGAGCACGGTCTTCATGCTGGAGGTCGACGCATCTACGCTGCCGACTTTACTGTCGACGGAGCTGGAGCCGTGGACGATGGCTCCGTTGGCACGTCGAGGCGCAGCTGGTTCATGACTATCATCTGAATCATTTCGTCGACGGATAATCTCTGGGATAACGTCAATGACGATGTCAATCATGGCGGTGTCGCGAACCCGCGTGAAGTTCGGATCGGTGGGGTCGAGGACATCAAATGTGATTTCCCGTAGAAGATATACCTTCTCGTCTTTGCCCAGTGGCACGTTGTTAATAACCTGGACCCGGAATTCATCACTCTCTGCGCTCCCGGATTCCCCTTGCACAGGGACATCCTGAACCATACTTAGTCGTAGGCCCCCGATGGCTTTGATAAAGATGCCATCCCGCACTCGTTCCAGTGATCCAGGCCCCACGACCATACCGGGAAGCGCGGGGAAAGAAATGTCGAGCGTAGGACGGATTGTCATCGGCGCGCTGGTTGCGTTAAATGGCACAAGCTCTGGAGGCAATGTCCATGGGAAGAATGTGTAGTTGGTGGGCGACGACAAGTCCGACACTGATACGCTCGGGTGGTCCCGAGCGTAATCCAGAAGAGGGCCTTCCGCTAGACCCCTACTCGGCATGAGGTGTAGGCGTGCCAGGTTCGCGGCGTGGAACAGATCGGACCGAGCCGCAGTGGATGAAACCCCCAGCGTTGGAGGCTGAGGTGCTGTTGGGCATGTCAAACCCTCGCTCTCCACATCGACCGGTACCTGCTTGCGCTCAGCGCGCTGTGCCGTGCTGTTCTTGGGGATAATTAGAGGGTGGCCCTCGGTGGAGAAGACGAACGGCTGGTCTAGCTTATTGAGGGGATGATCAAAATCGTACAGCAGAAACATGTACTTGGCAGTTTCACCCAGGAAGAAGCTCTCCATGCGGTCATTGAGCTCGCCATTCCGAACGTCCTGAATACCAGCCCAACCGCACTTGGTCCAGCATCGCCGTTTCAAATCCCGCAGTACCATCTCTCCGACATGCAGATACCAGGGGTCCTTTGTTGCTCGGTAGAGGTAGTAAGTAGATTCCACGAACTCAGGGCGGCCACCATACCAGGAAAGGCCCTGCTCAATGTCCCCGGTGGCAACATTCCATCGCTCAGGAAGACCGGAAAATCGAGTCCAGACTGCCGTCGTCAGAAGATGGATGCCAATGGCTTCATCCACTTCTCCCGCTAAAGTAAGAAGTCCGGGGTAGAAGGCGCTAAGACTGTCGATCCAAAAAGCACGAGTCGCTCCGGTGAAGATGTCTCCCTGGATCAGATGCGGGTGCTGATGGCCCTCTCCGCGGTACAGGTGACGTTTTATTGAGGCATGGGACTCCTCCCAGACCTTCCGAAAGGCATCGGCGGAGTGCTCATATTCTGAAAGTGGTAGGAAATAGTCGTCCAGGGCATGCCACGGGCTGCTAGTATTGGCCGGGGGCCGTTCCCCTGACGAGAGTAGTACGTAGGACTTGAAAGCATACTCGAAAAAGCTATCAATTCCTGCGCCGATCTGAGACGTGGTAGTGTTAGCCATATTCAAATGCACGTGCTTGATTTGACTCACCCCGGTATAGGAATGAACCCATCTACCTGACTCGGCATCAATACCGGACCCAATCAGTCCAATATCACTCCTCCTTGCCCAAACGGCCCAGAATGCTCGCTTGGCAAGCTCCTCATATCGTCCATCGCCTGTAAGTCTGCTCAAAACTGTAAACTCGAGGACTAGACTGCCAGCGCCAGCGCTGCAGGTTTCCGTAGTCTCAAAGGTCGAGGAGCGGCGAGGCTTTTGGCACTGTTCAGGATTGGCTTTATCACACGTAGGGGCTGCATTAAACGGTGAGTTTGCGTAGTACGGCTGCCGTTGCACCCCGTACTTCAAGTTCACTCGAGGGTAAGGGAGTCCAGTGTCCGTATAGAACGCGGGCAGAATTCGATTTGCAAGATCGACAGCAAGCCGTAGAAGTTGGCCATCGTAGACGAATCCGTCCTTCCACTCGATGCCGCGACTACCTTCAGGGAAGGAGTGCTTATCCCAGGCTCTGGCAAAGTTGGCTTCGGTCTCCGGCGGATTGTATCCGGTGATAGGAAGATCGCCCACAGCAAAAAGATGAGCGCTGAGTAGGCCACCTAGAGAAAACCATTAATCGAGATGCATAATCCCCATGCACAAATCCGATGCCTACCTAACCCTCGAATCACCGTCTCGAACACTTGCACTTTACTATCCATATCGAATCCTCGACCCCTCTGACCCTGGCCTGCGGGGCCATCGGATCCATCGCCGTACAGTGTAACAAAATCCTTCACTCCATTCTGGAAGTAATCCCAAGCCTTCTGGCCCTGGTCGGGACTCGACGAAAGTATCGCCAGGGAGGACAGACTGTCGATCAGAGTCAATGAATAATTACCCAGGACATCGTTGAGCTCTGCATGCGCGGGATTCTCTCGGTCGCGAACCAGCGGACGGCATGTTAAAGGACGGAGTTCGTCTTCAGGAAAGGCGTGTTCGAGATAGTTTTCGAATCCGTGGTAGAACATATGCTCTGTCTCCTTCCTAGATATCGAAGGTGTCAGTCGATCGGCCCCTATACCAGCGAAACCGGGAATCAGGTAATGACTGGTGAGATTTACCTGAGTTCGTTAACCTGACCGGTCCGCATGCCCTGGGCCATGGCGAGCCACAGCGACAGCAGCAAGACCCAGGTCATGATCCATGCTGAACGGAGGGCGGACATCTGCGAGTGCCAACATCCCGAGCGCATTACCGCAGTAGCGAAACAGTTATCAATGGCATGGGAGCGCGTTGATGAACTGTTCAATGTGAAAACCCCGCAGACCGGCGAACTGAACTGCCTCCAGAGAAGGGTTCCTGAGGGGGGGAGGCTTGAGGGGAAGTTGGTGGTGGCAGCGGCGCCGCACGTGAGGTCGTATTCAATCCGCGGCGAACCAATTTGCGGCCAGATATGCCGTTTACATTCTCCCTCCACTCCCCCTTCCCTTCGGACTACAGGATCCCTTAATTCAATTTTAGGGGATGTTTATATTATTAATACAGGATTTTTGACGAATCGGCTTGCTTACGGTAGGCCTCGTTTCCCAGATACTTTAAAGTTAGAAGGGTTAAGATGTACTTTGCAGTAAGTTAGAAAACCAAGCTTAATGAAATAGCGCTCAAACAAATGCTCGCCAGATAGATCAGTGTGTATGCCAATGTAACTCCCGCTTCATCCAAGAATTTTCAGGTACAAAAGAAAACAAAGAAACATCACATGATTGATGATGAGAATGCCGCAAAGGGGTGGCAAAAAAAAGGGAAAGAAGCCAAGTCACAGGGGATATCTCGAGCAAAAGAAATACAGATGAAGGTGATCACAGTACCGCTATATAAATGATTTTGCGGATAACGAGACGATTATGGATGTCATTGTGTCGGTGAATCCAGCTTCAGTATGTCGAGAAAAGAGAGAGGGCTATTTATGGGTCATGGCTGATGCCCTGATTCTTCAGGAATCCGCCATTGGGTGAATGATCGGGGTTGCGCTTCTATCACATAGTCGACGCCGTTGTCAGAGGTGTAGCTAGGCGGCCGTGGGATCCGCGATTTATTGCTCCCATGCCTGCCAACGCCCTTTGGTACGTGCGCATTGTTATTTTCGATGCGCTGCCAGTACAACAAGTCGGGGTTAATCCTCTGCACAAAGTCAGCGGGACTGGTCACCATCAAGGAAATAACTCCATTCCTGTAAACATGTACTTACCACACTTTCTCGCCAAAGACCGTATGCCGGAGGAGGCGCCGTGACCTTTTCGCGCACGGCATTCGGACTCGCGGCTCCAACGTCCTCATCTCCAGCTAGAATAACGTGGATGGGACGCGCTGGTTGCGCATAGCCGGCTGGCCCCGCCCTACTGGGTATGCGATTCGTAGCGACATCAGAGTCAGGCCGTCGTAATAGTGCCATCAAGAAGCGCGTGAGAGAATGACAGAAAACAATGCCAAGAATTAAGATCATGAAGATAAGAAGTATTTGGAGCTCTCGGCCCAATGTCGTACGGGAAGCAGCGAATGCGAGGTAAATGGCGATAACGAGGATGAGAAAACATGCAGATATAACCAGCGTAATCAGTCGCCTCCGTAGCCTCTTCTCCTTCAGCCGTGATACGAACGATTGCGATTGCCTGCATCGGAGGTCTTCAGGGTCAGGCGGGGAGTGTGCTGAATGTGATTCTCGTTCTGAGCGCGCATGCGACCGCGCTTCGCCGGAGCTTCCTGCTGCTGCGGACTGCAACTCAATTGGGACATACGGCCCTCTTGGCGCATATTGAGATGCAGCAGCGTCTCTAAGAGAACTATGCGATGGCGCTGGTCGACCAGGTAGACGCGATTCGCGACGCTCAGCGCGGTCACCAAGGATTCGCTGTTCCAGGTCGAGACGATGGTCGGCTACCCATGATGTGAATCGCTCCTCCCGATTGGGAGCTCGTCGAGGCTGGTCATCTGCGATTGATCCACTGGTATTGACATGCGAAGAGCGATCGGGCGAGAACATGCCGGGGATCGAGCTGGAATGTGTTGTCGATCCCGAATGAGACAGCTGAACCGATTCCATGTCAATTCAAACTAGCAATCGTACAATGACATCTGGACAGACGTAGGGCGCGACTTTCAAGTGTTTCGCAGAGATCACTGATTAATATTATAGGCGTCGACAGCGGTAACTCCAATCGCGAATATGATATGTTTTGCGTCGATATGTACTGCCCACTTCCGCATTCGTTGAACAACACACAAATAAGCGTCGCGGGAACGCAGAACCGGATGCAAACCGCCTGGAATGAGGGCCTTTACGACGCAAAGCGGATAATTGCTGGCGAAGGCGGATATCTGTGGCCGAACTGGGAAATTCGTTATGATTTCGGACGCTATACATTCATAATGAAGATCGAGCCTGGGGTGTAGGAGGGGGGCCCAGGGGAGAGCAGCATCAGACGCAGGAATCCCGATCGCGGAGTCACAGGACACGGGCGATGGCGACCCAAAGGCAATTAGATAGCAAGAGGATTGGTAAATCCGTCTCGGGATAGAGTAGATAGAAGAAAATTGGGTTTAGAAACGAACGCGTAGAAAAAGCGAAGGAACAGGGCGAGCACCAGGCCAGCCGGTTAGGGGAGGGTGATTCGGTTCAGTACGGAGAGAGTGCGACAAGCAGTTCACTATTATATCCGAATGATAGTCCGGACGGAGAGGGGATAAGATATCACAGGGGAAAAAAAGCAAGTAATGGGCAGATGCCGATAAGGATGAGGAGGTAAAGATGAAGTAAAGTGGAAGTAAAAAGAAAAAAGAAAAAAACAATATACTAGTAGCAGAGCCTCAAATGTGTATGCGAGCAAGAACGAAAGATCATAATAATCCAGAATAAACAATGAGATGGAAAGCGAGAGAGAGAGAAACAGAGAGAAAGAAGAGCCGAGAAGCAGTCAGAGAGTAACGAGAGAGAGTGTGAGTGACACTTCCCGTTCCCCAATGGGTAATTATTACGGGCGACTAAGAGAGAGAAGTGGTGCTGCTAAGGAGCTTAGTTGGTTACAGACAGTCTCTCTCTCTCACGCAGGCCTTTCCAGACAATTAGTAGTACTATCTAAGTAACTTCATACTGCCTTTTGATATTATTATTATTAGCCATCATTTACTATCCTACCCACTTCTAGTTACGTATACTGACGGAACTGGAATCCAGTTTGCACAACCGGCCTGATCCGATGGAATTTATTATTAGTAGCTGGTTGATGGACTGTCGAATGCTAATTTGGCGTCTCTCCTCGTTCCTCTGCTTTAGGGGCTGACCATTTTACCCCTGGATGACCCACGTTGCCCTGATAGATATAACTAGACGGACGCCATTCAATACTAAGTATAGCCACAGCTCCCCTCCGCGGCGGCGCCCCCCCCAACCAAGTCCGAGCTGTCCGATAACAACCCGCAGCTGCATAGCTTCTGATCTTACGCTATAGCTGTCTTCATCTAAGAATGGAACTAGTCTGGTTTAACAGACCTGTGCATCTGCAATTACATCTGTGCTCTTAGGCACATTTTCCCTTGGCATCATCATTCAGTCTATACTCTCTCTACCTTACGTCCTGGCGGGCCGATGCTGGGATGCGGGTAAAGATTATGTTAACACTAAAACTAATATTAAGGATGGTTGTGGCTCCTCGCGCCTGAAGGAAGCCAACTGTTTCGGCCTCGCAGCCAGATCCCCTCTTAGGGACCCTCTTCCAAAGGGGGCCAATCGAACGCCAATTAACCCACGATGCGCTGGTAATTTTCTAACGGGAGCGCCTACCCCAGCTTACTGAGATGTAGTTGGCCAGTAGCCCCGATCGCTTTTCGCTATGATCTTCCAAGGTTACACAAATGAAGTGCGAGCCATTATCATACTGACGTATATTATTACACTTGCGAGGCATAAAAGATGTGGATATACTGCGCTCACGGGAGGTATTCAAATAATGGTAGTAACCCTTCTCCCGTCATCCGGCCGGCCCGTTCTTCCCGGTCTGCCCATAATGGCTATTTACCAGCCTTGGTTGACACATTCCAACCGGCAAGCAAGATTGGAGCTGAAGATTCTCGTGCCATCGCCATTCGCCACCAGTCTAACTAAGCTTGACGGAAGCCGGGGCTCGGAACCTGTTGTCATAGATAAATGCTGTCCGTAGGAAGACGAATTAACTCGCGGTTGTGTTGGCTGAGTGTGCTGCACATGCGCTTCCCCTCACTTGCCAAGTTCACCGAGCATGAGCGTTCTATCGGACGATCCCGAGACGACTGTAGACAGATATTAGTATTTCCAACGAATATCCCAAAACCCGGTGTAACTTACTGATGGGCTCATTGTTCGGTGAAAACCGGACGTCATTGACGGTCCCCTTATGTCCAGGGAGCTTGTATAGGATTTTGCCGGACTTCGAGTTCCAGACCACAACACTCCTGTCACCACTACCCGCCGCAATCTTCTCCCCACTCGGGTCCCAACTGGCCCGGATGAGGTTCTTCTCCAAACCGACCGGCGCACCGTCAAACGTCCTGACGTGTCGATTTGCCGGCGCGAACGGCCGGATATCCCACGTGCGTACGGTCGAGTCGTGTGAGTTGGAAAGAAGAGTTTGCGAGTCTGGCGAAATTTCGAGAGAGGTGATGGTTTCCGTGTGTCCAGCCATGGAGTAGACGATGCTCTTCTTCCGTAGATCCCAAGCATGGATAGTGTTATCGATACCACCACTGTAGATCTCGTTACCTGCCTCCGAAAGCGCCACTGCCGTGATGGGCAACTCGGTTTCCAAATATTCGATAGCATCCTTTTGCCGGGGATCCCAGATGCCTATGCAGCCGTCGTCACTTGCGCTAACCAGCAATTCCTGGCCTCTTTTGCTTATGTCTAGACAATTGATAATCTCCTCGTGCCCAATGTGCCGGCGTATTCTTTGTCCGGTTTCGAGATCCCAGCTAGCGAGTGTCATGTCGGCCGATGCGGAAAATAACGTTCTGGAGTCGCGCGACCATTGAAGGTCAAGAACTGCTCCTCGGTGACCTGATAGCGCACCATAGTTCTCGCACTGTCCATATGTGTTCCAAAGCACTGTTGTAGACGGTGTGATTAGCCTGTACCCTCTAGACACTATTATATAAAAGGAAACACGTACAGATAGATCGATCCATGGAGCCCGAAGCAATGTGCTGAGCAGTGGGATCAAACCGCACCGCAAAAACTTCACCAGAATGACCTAGTATTATCCATTATATGTCAGCCTAAGTTGCAAGTCACCGCAGTGGTGCAGCTCACCATTCATTTCCATAATCGGTGCTTGAAGCCCGCTGGTGCGGGGAACCTATAGTCATGGTCAACAATGGAACCTGACCAAAAATCTCACTTTTCGAATAATACGGGATAAGGCATACTGATTGGATCAAAGCTCCATTTTGCGACGAGCTTTGGACGATGGCTGTGCTATCATTGAGACCGGCGTCGGACTTCTTTCGCTTGACGACAAGCTGGTTCGATGAGCCAAAGGCTTCTTGCGCAGGTCGCTTTTCCCCCGACATTATTGAAAAATAATCCAGCGGACGGGCTCGAGCAATGGGTATGCGAGTCTAAGTAGGGATGGAAGCTGAGCGTAGAATGTAATCAAGCCTAGTAGCTGGGGAAATCTGGACTGGACGCGCCGACCCGGACTAAGTCTTGCGTCCGAGGCTCTAAGCATGGTTTCTGCGTAAGCGCCAACCAGCCGCGCTAGACGCCGAGCGCTGGTCCACCAGGCGCGTGAAGCTCCGCCTCAGGCCCCCTAGGTCCACCGAATCAAGCGGGGAAGAGTGCGCATTGCTCTTGTCATTGTTTACCAGCCGCTTGCAAACTTGAGTTTCTTGAAGTTTTGTGTCGTTCATATTTAATTACCTTGACACTTGAGTTTAACGAGCGTGTTTTACAATCATGTCATCTGCAACAAAAGCATCTAGGATTGGGGAAGAGTAAGTTGTTCATTCGCTTCACTTGACCAGTAACCCCTTACTAACCTCCTGACCTTGACAGGCTGTGGAAGTCAGTAAGCTGCATGCGTATAGTTGGCGCTCGAACACCCCTCAGGAGACGAGCGAAGCCGGCTTGGGATGGACAGGCAACTGACATACACCCGACATTACTAGGACGAGAGTTGACAAAGTGAACGCCGAGTTGGTAACATTAACTTACGGTACAATTGTCGCGCAACTTTGCCAGGACTACGATGGAAATTACCAAGAAGTGAACAAGCAACTGGAGAAGATGGGTTACAATATTGGAATGCGACTTATCGAGGACTTTTTGGCCAAGTCGGGCGTCGGCCGATGTGCTAATTTCCGGGAAACGGCGGATATGATCGCAAAGGTATGTTGAGGCCAACAGGTGGAGTAATTGGTCGAAAGTATATGGGCTTCTGTGGGCTGACGAGTTTAATGCCCACTGCAGGTTGGGTTCAGGATCTTCCTCAACATCGCACCCACCGTCACCAACTGGACGAGTGACAACAACCAATTCTCTCTCATATTTGAAGAAAACCCGTTGGCAGATTTTGTTGAGTTGCCCGATGACGGACGGGCTCAAGATGAGCTGTGGTTTTCCAATATCCTCTGTGGAGTTCTGCGGGGTGCATTGGAGATGGTAAGACGGCGTACTGCAGGGAGTTGATCTGTTCTCTGCTAGCCACTTCCATGCATGTATTTGTGCTAATTCTGGGAACAGGTGCAAATGCAGATCGAGGCGCATTTTGTGAGCGACGTTTTGCGGGGCGATGACACAACGGAAATGCGGGTGTCACTTGTACGGTACATTGAGGATGAGATGCCACCCGACGAGGAGTAATGGTGCCAGCCGTATGGTTCTGGGATTGTTTATACAAGTAGAGGCGTCTGGTGTTTTGAGGGTTCTAACCGCCGATTTGGAGCTGCAGTTACCGATGAATATTATCTCGATTATGAGTTATGACTGATACTGAGTCTTGCATCTTTTTTTTTTCTTTTTTTCCATTGTCCTATAGTTCTCGCACTAAACCGCGTTTACATAGAAGGTCTCCTGCAGGTCAACAATGCCAGACACAATACCATTGTCACAGACGGACGAGATTAACAGTTGCATGAAAAGCTAAATTAACAGGGAAAGAATTTGCAACGGATATTAAGGCTTAAACATGACCTGTCAATATAGTAGATCTCCTCTTTACAAAAGGACGTTCTCCGAACCCGGAGCATGGGATCTACACGGGTGCCATAATTATGACAGGCGCACTGGTACCTCATCAAGGCGGTGGGGTTCTGCCATTCCGGAGAAGACCACCGACGCGATTCAGGTCCCTGTAATATAACCGCAGAGGATACCAACTTCACGGTAATGGTATTCCCAGACCTGAAAAGTGGAAATAGAACGATCCAAGACTGTGAAATATGCGTACTCTTCATGGGTCAGTTTCCCGATGAATCAGGTGCGGAATAACTCCATTATATGAATCGATAGATTCTGGCCAACACATCTCCCACGGAGGACGGCCCGCACTATTCACGACTCGGCAGTGATCGGAGACTGACGGTCGTGACCTGTACTCCGTCTGATTGATACAACGCGATCCTGTCTGATCCCGCTGATATAGCTACACAATGGATTGATTAAAGAGCGGCGGAACCCGGTATCCATCCAGAAAGAGCTAGGCGGGAGAAATTGTGCGCGGGGAAGGGTAGAGATCTCAATTGATATCAAACTCGTATGATGTGCTACACAGGTATCTAGACTGCTAACATTTCAACATAGAGTCCGGGGAACGGCAGGATGGGCAGATCGGCGCAGGAAATCCTCTCCCGGCGGGAGAGGCACCACGTGATGCGCTAGACCGGAACGGGGGGCAGAGCATCCCATCATTCCCAGGGTGTGCCAGGATATACGCGGTGGCGAGTCTGCGATCCAGGAAAAGAAGCCTCAACTGTCAAATGGAGAGGGAAAAGTAAAAAGAGGGCAGTTCTGTTTATTATTCACTCCTTAGGAACTGTTCAAGTAGTCTCGATGATTTGAGAAGTTATTGAATAAGAATTGTCTATTTTAGATCTATTGTTTAATATTCATCTGTGTTAGTGGGCTCAAATCAATGAATCGGTCAATTACATTGTGAAGGGATCGCGGCGATTCCGCTGTATCAGATACACTTTATATACCACCAGATCGGGTGGATCATTCGGCGCGTGTTAATGCTTCGGAGTCCAAAGGGAGCAAGAGACTGAGAGTGAATTGAGAGAGAGAGGTATCTTATATAACTTATAACCAGCCTCTTTGATTTATTTGAGATTTTTACCGGCATCTTCTCCTTTCTTTTCCTCATTTCATCTCTCTCTCATCACGATCAAATATACTGGTAAGTTCCTGCTTCATTCTTCTGAATCTTCATGCTTGTTTGTTAGACTAGTCCTCCATGTAAATCATCATCTGTTGTGCTTTCTATCTCTTGCCTGTCACTCTACTTTCTTCTCTTACAAAATTTTTATTTTTTCCCATCGGGATTTCCGCTGGAACTGCATGCTGAGATATACGCGAGCCAGCCGCATCTCCCAGCCCTCCCACGGCGTTCCGGGCAGGATAATCCGCGCCGAACAAGCGATTCACGCCCGGCCGGCAGTGATTGAGCAACTCCAGGCACCGCGCCTGATATCCACGTCCTCCCACCCACCAGAGAACACCTCAGATCCACCGCTACACCTTGTCCTAACCTTTGCCTCTCTCTCCTCCCTTCCCCCCCCTCCACCTACTCACTTCAAATCTGCCGGATCTCTCCGTCTATCCCCCCTTTCCTTTTGCTGCAGGGGCTTTTGAGGATACTTCTGCTTCTTCTGAAGTCCTCTCACATCCTTGACTCTGGCTGGTACCCCCCGTCGGGTTGCGTCTGGTCGGGTTCTCTCCTATACCTCGTTCCCGTCCTTTGCCATCCTGTGTCGCTTGTTCGCCGCCCTGCCCCCCCGGCTGATCTTACCGCGCATTTTCGGTCGACTGGCTCCTGTGAACAAGTACACCAATCTTTTCTCCTCTTAATATTTTTTTCCCTTTCCCTATCCCTCCTGTCTCCTGCTTTCAACTGGACTGTGTCTCGATTGAAAGTCCTTTGGCCCGCTTGTGCTCCGTCTCGCCTCACCTTGTGGAAGTCACCGAAGATTCTTTTTCTTTCTTCTCCCCCAAGTTGCCGTATGCTCCTGAGTGGGCCACGCTCGCCTTCCCTTGTTGGTGATCATCGCGACACCTTTGCTCTGCGTTGTCCTATACTCTCCGTCAGAGACAACCCCCTCTACGTCAGTTAGCGTGAAACGATATCGCGGGTTCAACTTCCGCCTAGATTAGCCCCGGAATTCGGCTTACTTCCTGGCGATCGCGCATTCAGGTCTGGTAACGAAGCCGTCCTTAACATTGGGCTGGAAGCGTCTGTGACCCTGCCTTGTACATCCCCTCATCTCGGGACCTAGATTGCCGCGCGCTGCGCCTCGTCGCTTCCTTTGTGGTGAGCTCCCTCGCCGCAAGACGGTGGATGCGCGTTGAACGTTCTCGGACCCCTCCCGACGCTTTCCCATCGAAGACAATAACTAGGTGAGGGTGGCTGAACCCTTTTTGAGTGCCACCATGAATCAGATGAATCAGATGAATATGGCTGGAATGAACCCCGGCGCAGGGGGCCCAGTGGGAGGTGTGCCCATGATCAACAATGGCTCTGCGGCCCCTCGTAATGAACAAAACATCAACAACATTCCTGAAAACATGATCAACAACCTCAACACTTATATCTACGATTATTTCTTGAAGCGCGGCTACCACGACTGTGCTAGGGCGCTTGTGAAGGATGAGTCCATCAAACTTAATACTGAGCCGCCGATTAAGACGAGTCCGGGTCATCGTCGCGATGCCGACGTGAACGGTGTCGACGGTGATACAATGATGACGGATGGGAAGGATGGAGATAAATTGAAGATTCCCGATGACCTCCCCCGCCCTAATCTTCCTAGTGAAGGACAGCAGTCGTCATTCCTTCTTGACTGGTTTAGCCTTTTCTGGGATTTCTTCTGGGCTCAGCGCAAGAAGGGAAACAGCAATGACGTGAGGAGTTATCTTACGCACACCCAGGTACGTGCTCTTTACTCTTTGCCGCCTGTCCGGGACGTCTAACTGAGGCTTTGTAGAACATGATGCGCCTCAGGGAACAACATCAGAATCAATTATTACGACAGCAGCCACTGATGAATGGACAGATGGGCCAAATGAATATACGCCGGAACGGCATGGTCCCCCCTAATCTTCAAAAGACTGTGTTGCAGAACAATACTACTGGCCTGTACGCGCCCCCTTCCCTATTATCTCTTGCGCCACCTCCTCGCAAGATCGTTCAGATCTTCGTGCTGACTGGATTCTTCTCAGGTCGCAACAACAACTCGCCCAGATGCATAAAAACCAGCAGGTCCAGATGATGCAACAGATGCAGCGAGAGCATTCGGACATGGATATGAACGGCCATCGACCCCAGTCCCCGGCATCGGCAGAAAATGCCCCGTCTCCGTCGAAACGACCTCGCCTCGAGGGTGGCCCCATGAACGGGCAGCAACTGGCACCCAACGGACGCGGCCAGGCCCAGGGTATCCCAGGCCAGCCGACCCCGCAAGCGCTATTGATGCAGAACGGACTCAATCGGGCGATGAACCCCAATCAGTTCCAGGCTTTCCAGCAGTCGGGACCGGCTGCGCAGCAGAAACAGATGCAGGTATATGCTCACAACTTGGCCGTTCATCACACACGCTCAGCATTGACGAACCAGGGCATGCCGAATGGTATGATGAATCCCGCGAATGTTATGGCAAACCCCCAGACGGAAATGGTGTCCATACCGGAAGGCCAGGTGTATCCCATCAACGGTGACTACTATGGCGCGAATGGTCAAATGGCCCAGGTTCGGACGGGGATGCAGACACCTGGCGGTCAGCACGGCAACCACGCTCTCCAAGATTATCAGATGCAACTTATGCTGCTCGAACAGCAGAATAAGCGGCGTCTGATGATGGCTCGCCAGGAGCAGGACAGCATGGCTCGGCCTGATGGCCAACCCCAAATGCCCGGGCAGCAGTTGCCACCAGGCACTTCGCCCCAAGGCAGCAGGGCTGGCACATCGCCGAATCCCAACGACCAAATGAAGAGAGGCACCCCGAAGATGCCCCAGACCGGCCTCCCCGGATCACCGAGCGCTGCCGACGCGATGGCCCAGGGCCGTGGATCTCCGGCATCCATGAACTTCCCTGGTGGCCAGATGCCTCCCGAGATGGCGGGTCCCCAGTTCTTCGTCAAGAACATGGCTGATGGTATGGCGGCACCCAACGGCATGCGCCCTCCGAGCTCCAATCCTGCGTTCAGCACCCCTCAGATGGGTCAACCGATTCAGGCCGGTGCCAATCGCATGCCCAACGGAGGCTGGCAGCCGCAGCAAGGAGCTCAGGGTCAGCCGATGGCGCCGCAGCAGTCGCCCGCGACCCAGCCTCAGTCTACGGGAACGCCTCAGGAGAGAAATGCCATGCCGCCGCCCCAAGCTCCCCCAGCACCTGGTGCCAACGTCGGTCGAACCCAGCCTCCGTCGCCCCAAACCGCCGCTCCGCCGACGCCGCAGCAAGGCAACAAGCCAGCTCCGAAGAAGAAGGAGACTAAGGATAGCCGGAAGGTATGTAATCGAAGCTCTTTGGTGGTTAATCCCCCTTGTCATCTCATATTGAACGCAAATCCTAGCGACCGAAGAAGGGCGCCGCTGCCGCTGCCGCTGCCGCCCAGGCGAACACGGCTGCCACGCCATCTTCCGAAGCAGAGCATCCACCAACCCCTACGCCGTCGACCCCGATCACGCCCCAGCATCCGAACTCGTTCAACAAGACCGGTGCAAATGCTACGACTAGTGCTCCGCAGCAGCCAACGTCTGCCCCTGCACCTCCCCCACTTGTTCAACAGCCGCCGGACCAGACGCAACAGCCTTTCAATGAATTGAGCATCCCTGATGTATGTTCCTTGCCTTTCCCTCATGTTCGATGGATATCATACTTACATTTTGAACAGGCATCGGCCTTCAACCTGGACTTCAGCGCCTTAGAAAACCCGGATATCCTGGAGAATTTCGACTTCGATACGTTCCTCAACACTGATGCCGACACTGCTGGATTTGGATTTGACCCCAACATATCGTATCCAACTGATGGTGTTGAGACCGGTGCCGGTGATGGCTTGTGAAATGAAGTCCGACGGTTGTTAAGTCCTTAACTCATATACCCTTGTTCTGTACATTTCCATAAACTTGAGTTGTGTTTGTGCTTCTTTGCTTCTTTGCTTCTTGCTTTTCCATGTTTCTTTTCCCTTTTCTTTATTTGTTTTCGCATCGCGTCTTTTCCTATCCTTGTGTTCTGTCGACATGATTTGGATATGTGCCCAAGTGACTAGGCGTTGGTGTATCCTCGTTTCCTTTTGCATATCCTTTCTTTCACTCTGCCAAACCAGAAGTGTCGAACGGCTTCCGATGGGGTTTGCTTGATTGCCCTACTTGTATTCAAGCTACGTTCCAGTGGCCTCGTGTGACTCTGCTTCTTATATCCTTTCTATCACTACTACTACTACTTGATTAATCTGGTCATCAAACTTCCCAAAGGGCCATCGAGTGATGCGTTTCTCCACCATCCTAGCGTTAGTCATGCTCCATTTAATGCTCGAGACTACTTCATCACAAGATGTGCCCTTGGCCCTTTCTTTCTTCTTTCCTTTTCTTCAACCAATTTCTTTCCCTCGACAAACCCTTTCATTTTCTCATCTTCGCGATTTGATTCCATTTGAGACCTTCTTATCTATACCTTCTCCCTTTACTTCTTTATATTACTTATTTCCTATGTTGATCTCTTTATCGTGTTGTGGCGTTATAATCAACGAGGCTCTAGTCGTTATTGACTCCTCTCAGGGAAATGGTTTCATGAATTCGAGAAAGATACTCACGTTCTTCTCTGCTGTTCTTTTTTCCTCTCTTGACTAACTTAACTCTCGTGCTGCCGTATCGCATTAAATCGAACTGCCTGCTTCCTGCCGTACAGTTTACTGCGCCCTGCTATCTAAGTTAACCATTTTACTGCCTGCAGTTATTCCATGCTTTCCCCCTGCTTCATTTGAACCAGTTCCGTCCTGGAGACACGTCTCGTCTGTGTTTGATATTGGCGTATGAGCGTGTGTGTAGGGAACCAGGCCAAAAGCGAAATTTGGAGTAGATTGAAACCAGTCTCAGCTGTCTGTTCGTTTCTCCCTCCCCCCCCCTCTTTGGTACATATCTTATCATATAGCTAGTTAGCTACTTTGTATCTGTCCTCTAGGGTAGAATGATAACTGATCGCTTGGCATTGGCTCTATCAACACTACAATACTTGTCACAGTGTAACTACGCTATAGTCATAGTGATCTTCAACACCCTCGATGCCAAACAAGCTACTTACTGCTTACTGCTTACTGCTTACTGCAGCTAGCTAGCTGCATGGCTGCACACATGCGTGCATACATATAACAAGTCAAATACAAGTCCCTCAACTTCTTAATAAAGTGCCAATAACCATCTAATTCACATCGATAGTATACAACTGCCTGGACACTCCATAAGTACAATAGGGATCAATGGAATGAAAGCCACTGTCTGCCCGAGTCCATGCCCAAGGATACTACTTCTCAGAATGGTATTATCCTCTCGAGTAATTCAAGGATGTTCACAACGCCAAACATCCACCACCAGAACTCGTCATGAGAGCTATCAACATACCCTTCCCGTCCGTGTTTGATGAGTCTGTCGATGTCAGGGCGTATACTCAGTTTTTACACAAGACCAACCATCCTAATACTGACGAAGAATGACATTACCCAGTCATGTGTGGAACACGCCGGCTGGACATATCAAACGGCGTGTATATCTCACGGAATACAACTTACTAGCTGGAGAGAGAGATCATCTTCCTGCTATTTCAGCCCCCTGCAAAAGGAAGTATAATTGACAAATGAAGTGTAAGGATCTCGCTGAATTATGGTTATCTGATCCTCAAACCGGTATTTTCTGGGTGGATGGCTTGCCTAGGCAATATCCCAATTGGGGAATATCTTGACCCGGAGGCATAGAAGGATTATATCACACCGTCGTGGAGCTGAGCATCAGACCCGGGGAAATGTCATAACAGGTGACGTCGAATACAGATCTGAATTCGTCCTCGAGGAAGTGCAGATGGATTTGTCCAGGCATATAATCCTTTCGGCTGTCTAGTGCCGAGTGCATCACTGGATAAATAACTACTATTACAGATGAGAGGCAGTAGATAAATGGGGTATAATATCATGGCATGGTAATGGTAACCACTCCCTCAATCCCAGCAGACGTATTCCAAAAGGTATGGTAACGGGTATGGGGGATGATAGTAGCTTGACTAAGGAAAAGGGATCAAAGTAGGCTGATAAATAACTTCAATTCGTACACTGTGTACTGTTTACGGGACGCTCGCTAGCCTTCTCTAGATTAGATCTGTTTAGATTAGTTCGACTTCTGAGCATTTGACAGAGGAGAGCGAGTGTGTGTAGGTGATGTGAGGTCTGTGCATGTCAGATAGGCTGGTAGAGAGTCTGTCTCAAGATTAAGTGTGTTGCAATATGTTTATTACTATCGCCTAGCGGTCGTGATTGTGGTGGGAGAAGAGTTGGAAAGAGTTTCACTGAGATCAGGATAAACAGTGTGAAGATAATAATCCAGAAACGGAAGGCATGTAAAAGAAGCCAAAAGGAATGGCCGTTGCTGTTTGGTACGTTTCAATCTCTGAGGATAACTAGTCTGTGGATTCTGCAAGCTATACTAATGGCACTCACTACCCTCCTAGCTGCTGCTACCACCACTAGACTAAGTACGTTGAATACTAAAACAAATCATTCTGGGCTGGAAAACATGTACTAATCGACACATTCGCACGTCGCAACCCAAGGAGATACAGTCTTCATAGCAATTGATATAGAAGGTAACGAGAGTTCGTGGGCCATGATTGGGACCTCAACATTGACGCCTTATCTTAGAATTCGCTGACAACCGAATGAAATAAACAACGGAAGCCGACGAGCTAGGAAAAGACGCAAGCAAGTGCACTGGAACTACGTGCCTTTCTTGACCATATAAGAATAGTTCAATCCATCTCAGTAATTGCTACCGCGCTGACCCGGCAAGCTGGGAGCCTGCATCGAGGCAGTGATAGATATTAGCGTTCACAAGAGAATTGCCGAGCTAGCAGAAGTATAGCCGTGTCACCCTAGGAAATGGGAGAGGCCTCCGCACGGGCAGAACCTGTAGATGACTTGCGGCTGGACCGGGTTGGGGTTTCCACGCCTCCGCTGGTACGCACGACCAGCCTGGGAGGGGTTTCGCGGGATTTATCTTTCACTTTGAGTGGTGAGCCACCCAGAGATTCATTATCCTTGGCCTGGGACATGCCCTCCTTCCGGCTTTTGACGCGCGGGCTAGGAGTAGCATGAATCTTGGTAGTTGCCGCTCCCTCAGTCGTTGCTTCCGAAGCAGCGGTGGATTTAGTGCTGGATCCAGACGTTTCTCTGGTCCCAGGAAGCGAGATCTCCTTTAAGACCGATGTCCGGCTGCTGCCTTTAGTGTAGGGTGCAGAACGCGCTTCGGCAGCTGCAGAAAGCTTGTTCCCCATGGGTAAAGCAGTGGACGGGGTATTTGTGGGTGCAGAAATGCCGAACAGGGTCAGTGGCTTTGGCGGACTCAATGCTTCAATTAGCTGCCGGTATGACTCGTCATCGACGGGGGTTATTATGCTGTGATGTTTGCTATGCTCGTAGCTAATGCCCGTCATACTGGAGATGGCGCGACTACTTCCGGAGCTAGAGATATAATCAGGCATGGGAACATCCTCGCAAGATGATCGTGCACCTCGATACCGGATAACAGGGTCAGTGAAGGGATCTGGCATGCATTGGCCCTGCCACTGGGGCAGAGGCATCTGGACCGATTTTTGATAGCTTCGATATGCCCAGGAATTGCCTGAAAGACTGCTTACTTGGCTTCTGGGAGCGAGCATCCGCCCCTGAGCACCTTGTTTGCTGGGAGAGTGGGCGTGCGAGTCCTCCGCTGTCAAAATGGCAGGATCGATGCCCGAATTGTACTTGAAAAGTCGTGGCTCCCGTGTCCACATTGAAGGGTTCGGCCAGGCGATATTGGAATGCTCCAGGACCTCTAGACCCAAGGGGTTAGTACAATTATGAAAAACAATCTTCTGAGGTAAGCACCTACGCAGTGGGGCATGCTGAAAGGCAAATGCGATGATCTCCTTGACTCTCTCGAACGGTGGATAGCGGTGTGGGCGACAGAAGCCCTCAGCAATCACAACTCTAATCCTACCGTATAGCTCAGCTGCATCCCAATGTCTCTGTTCTAAAATCTCCTGATGAAAAGGGGGGAAACGGAGGCTATCCTGATTGCCAGTCTTATCGACGTCTAGAAAGTTTGCTGTTAGGCGATGTTTTGTGTCTAGAGTGGTGGACTATGAGAGAGGATTGATGCAAGCATACACGAACTTAGGTCTAGAGATGAGAGAGTAGGGTCAGCTATGACTCTGGTAACGGACAGGATCAATTCTGCTCACCAATAACATGAGGCCAGCCCGATCTCTGATGGAACACGCTGCCTCTATGACACAAAGATTCAGTTCATAGCCTCCGGTTTGAAAGCTCGGGCAATCACCTACGACACACACAAGCCATCAATAAAGACCCGCACCTCGAAAAGCACTGCATCGTCTGGCTGCAAGAGGCTTTCCATCAAACGACTGGGTGTAGGCTTCTGCCAGCTATGGACGGACACACGAAATGGGGTGTTGTGACGCAAACTTGGGACGAAAGTAGTGAGAACCGGCAACTGGCCCTCATTGCTCTGTGGCAAGGGACAAGTAGCCGGACTGACAAGACCGGGACTATGCAGGTAGGGTGAGTCTGGTTGATTGATTGGGGGTTAGCAATAGGCCAAGCCACGAATTTGCTCCGGTTCCCAACGACACTGACCTCTATCCTTGGTGACAAAACATTGGGTTTTGAATTCCTGAATGGGCACCTTGGACGATTCGGGGAAGAGGATCACGTCCCAATCTTCGTACCGCATCCTGGCTGCCCAAAGGACTATTCTCTGCGGATTAAAATGAGGAAAAAGGAAGAAATTGGACCTCGAGCAGGGACTAAGATACTAAGAGTAAAGAGAACTGAACCGATCCGAGTGGAAGGGGAGGGGTTCCTAAGAGAGAAGCAGGTATCTCCTCCACGATGACGAGGAGACAGATGATGGATGAGGCATCAGGAGACGAGCAGGCAAAGGAGAAGACGCACCGGGATTCGCACCTGCCTCATGAGGGACATCCCCTTCCAGATAAGAAGATTTACAGACAAATCCGGATCAATTTAGGAAGGGCAGGTACGAACCACAAGACCGAAAGAGTAAGACAAGATAGGAAGAAATTATGGGTTAAAAAGTTTTAAGAATGCAGACCTGGCGACATGCGCCCAATTCAGATTGTTAAGGCATCTATTATCAGGTCCCATGTACACGAGGAACAGATGCGAGCAGAGATGCTCGACAATGTCACGCTCGCAATCACGGTGGATACACACATAGGCAAAGCAGTTGCGAAAAGGAACACAGAGCTCACTGCAGAGCAAAGGGGGAATCATCCGTAAGAATAACGAGTAAATGGACATGCCAGTATTGGGATTGACGCTGTAAGAACACCCTCCTCGGCGACAACAAGGAAAACAACCAGACTTACGAACGCCCCTCTCCCAAAGATGGATTGTTCACAACAGGATGCCGCCATCAGTGCCCGAGGATAGGTAGGAACAGAACACCACCCACCACCCAGTAACTACAGTTTACATGAAGAGATAGACGCTTTAGAAAGAACCGGTCCTGTCAGAAAACCATCAACACCAGCCCCAAGTCCCGCACACCCAGGAGGGGAACGAGAAAGAGTGCACAAACCAAGCCGTCCAAAACATCCGCGGAACGCGCCAGACGCAAGACGGAGGCAGGACCAGCATAAGGACAGCATGGAAAGAGCGAGAGAAAGCATTGTGCTCCATAATAGACTGAATTGAGAGAAATAAAAGGCGAGGTGGAAACATGTTGTACAGGCCGCCCGGTCTAAGAAGCACGACGTAACATCCTCACAACGAAACAAGAATACGATTGGATTGCTTCATGAGAAAGGACTTCAGAAGAGGAACTTTTCGCAGAAAGCCTGCCCAGGGAATAAAGGGGAACACCGCACGCGCATTCAACAATTCCGATTGCCGTCATACGCATAATAACATAGACCTAGGGCCCGAAGACGTGAGGAGAATGTAAAAAAGCGGGCATGGGATAAAGGGAAGAAACGGATGTAACATATGAAGATTGGGGGAGTGGCGAAGGAGATTTGGGGAGGTTTAAAAAAAAGGGGGAATGGGAGAACAGAATAATGGTAAACGTGAAGATAGATAACGATGAAATCAGAGCTCAAATCTGGCTAACAATGGAAGCGCTCGCATATGAAGTACGTAGCACAGGAGAAAATGCCCATCCAGAGCTATAGAGGGTAACTTTCGCAGAGATCATGGCAGACTTATAACACAAAAGACCCATCGTGAAATGACAAAACTCCTGCTGGTTCTTTCAAACTAAAATGGAAAGCTCTTTTACTAAGTCTGGGCGTTAGTCATGCTCTGAACCCCACCAGCCTCGGAGGGAGAGTTCAAGGGGAACCGACCTTCATAGGCGCGAAGCCGCCGTATCCGTGAGCGGGGGGCATGCCCATGGAGGGGTACATGGGAGGCGGAGGGGGAGCAGGACGGTAGGGGCTGCCGGCAGGGCCAGAGTTGTTCTGAGAGCGACCCCAGCTCAGACGCACACGGGAGTTTCCAATGGGGTATCCCTGCATCTGGTTGATGGCCATCTCAGCAGCATGGCGCTGGACGAACTGGACGAAACCGCAGCCCTTTCCAGGGGGGATCTTGACGTAGGTGATTTCACCGAAGCCCTGGAAGAAAGAGCGGAGCTCATCCTCAGTGACGTAGCCAGACAGGCCGCCAACGAAAACGGTGGTGTTGTTGGGGTCGGTGAACTGGTTCATGGGCTGGGGAGCACCGTAGAAGCCCATGGGGGGAGCGCCCATGGGAGGGTACATGCCCGCGGGGCCGGGCATGCCCATGGCACCGGCAGCACCAAGGCTGGGGCCCTTGTTCTTGGGAGTAGCAGTAGAGATGCGCATGGGACGGTTGCCACAGTACACACCCTGCATCTCGCTCAGAGCCCGCTGCTGGTCGTTCTCATCGGAGAAGCGGACGAAGCCGTAGCCACGAGACATGCCGCTGATAGGGTCGGTCATGATCTTGGCAGACTTGCAGGACGGGAAGCGGCTCTGGAAGAGAGAAACGAGGACATACTCGTTGACCTCAGGGCCCAAGTCACCAACGAAGATCGAGTACTCAGGGCCACGGTCATCACGGCTATATGGAATGTTAGCTTATGGCTTGAGGATGTTGGGGGTGGGGGCATCTTCTCCTTACCTGCGGTCGGCGAGACCACCACCGGTAGCCCAGTTGAGCTTGAACAGACGGTTGGTGTTAGGCATGGGGGTGCCGTTCAGGGACAGAGCCTTGGCGGCAGCGGCAGGGGACGCGAAGTCGACGAAGCAGTAACCGGCGTTGCTCCTACTACCAACATTAGGATCGCCTTCAAACCAAATCCAGCGTTATTATGTACTCACCCAGAAAACTTGTCGCGGATCATCTTAACGTTGACCTGCTCACCCATCTGGAACCAGAGGTTGCGAACAAAGTTCTCATCGATCCAGGGCTCAAGCTCACCCATCCTAAACGGCAAAACGAGTCAGCAACAGCGCGGACAAGAAGATACCGCATCGGGCAAGCTTACCAGAGGGTGGTCTTTCCCTCGTTAGCCTGCTGGGGAACAGGGGCAGCAGTGGGCTCCCCGGGAGCAGGACCCTGGAAGGGGGCAGTGGTAGGGTCAGCCTGGCCGGTCATGGCGGTGTCCGCGGTAGCAGGAGCGCCAGGAGCGGCAGCGGCGGCGTCAGCAGCAGGGTGCTGGTTTTGGAAAGAATCAAAGTTCTGGAAAGACATGTTGACGTAAAAATTCGACTTTCGTAATAATAACTGCGAGATAGGTATCTGCGAGTCAAGCAGGGATATTAGCGACACCCTTCAGAAGAAAATGATCAAGGGCTGGCCAGTCGCAGTTGCGCATACCTTAGTGCAGGTAAAAGAGCAGAAACCCAAGCAAACAAACTTTTCTATACCGAAATTGGCCCGTGCGAATGGGGTTTCGTAGGAGTCGTCAAGGAAAGAACTGCGTGCGATCGTTCAGACTTGGAAATGACTAGAAATGCGTATCACTTCCTGCACGAAACGCTGTTAGTACCGAAAAGCGGAATTCAAGAGCGTATTTCCTTGAGCAATGACAAAGTAACCAAAGTAGGCGAGGCAGGAAAGCACGAGGAAAATCAAGAATGAAGAACAGGAAAAAAAAATGAAAAGATGTCCGATCCACAGGTTTGCGGTAGCTCAGATAGAAAGCATTGACGGAGCGGAAAATAATTGAAGAACGTGAAGAATCCCCCAGGATGGCGGCCGGCAGAAAAATTGGTTGAAAGAGTGACTCGGTGAAAGTTGGGAGACGACGAGAAGATGGAATCAGCCTTGACTTGCAGGCCCGCTCCGTCAGGTGCCAAGATTCAGGTTCCTCGGGTGGTCGCAATGGAATAGCCGGAAAGATACAAGATCCATGAAGTAAATCGAACAAAACCGTAAGAGTTGTAGTAGATTTGAAGGTGACAATGCGTGAATAGCCAGAAATAGGCGTTGTCACCATAGCATGGCCGCGTTCGTCGAGGATTACACCCAGAGAAGGCCACATCCGGTCCGGTTGCGACCGACCCGATCGATCCACCCAGTCTTCAGCGGACCTGCAACACAGAAGCCATGCAACAGCCGAGACGTATTCCAACCATTTAAGACCGAGGCGCAGAAAAGGGCCATGGACGAGTTGATGGCTGAGCGACCGTCCGAAACTCATCGTGAAATAGATCAGGGCGAGATAATCGTAAGGCGCAGAATGGTCGCTGACAGACCGTGCCGGACGGAAGTGGAAAGTCATTTTCGACAACCCGGATGCAGAGTAATCGGTGGACATGTTCGCCCACAGCCGACTAATTCAACCAATGTCGCTTCCAACAAATCGGTGACTCCATGCTTCTGGATGCATGAGAAGCGACGATGGACCCGAGACAGTGGTAGGCGATTTCCGTCGCAACCACACACAGCCAGGCACCGGAACAGGAAGAGGGGGAAAAGTGAGGAGAAACGTGGAGAAAAAAAAAAACAAAAACAAATATGACATACGAGTCGATGCGAAGGTATAATAAAAAAAACAAAAAGGAAGTAACAACTTACCAGGTAATGAAAAGCGAAGCGTTGAGTTGCGTTGCTTTGGCGCAAATAGCAAGGATGCGTGGAAGACTCGGGCGTCAGAGAAATCAGGAACTGGAGAGAACTCGAGATAACTCCGGCGAGGTGGAGAAAAGATAATAAGAAATTCAAGAAAGAGAGAGGAAAAGGCACAAAGAAGAGTTACAGAAGAACTGTCCGCAAACCAACTCCGTCTTTTCCGATAAGAACAAGGGAACGGTAAGAAGGACTGAAGGAGGGAGATATTATTGGGGGGGGAGGGGAGGGAAGAGAGAGAGAGAAGAGAGAAGGAAGAAACGAGGAAGAGGCGAGGAGGGGTAGAAGAAAGATTAATTCTTCAGGATGGAGGGGAGGGAAAGGGAAAGGGAAGGGAAGGAAAACGAGGGAAAGAATGGCTACTACTACGTACTACTGCTAGGGCAGACCAGGGACGGGAGAAAGCAGAAAATCGTTTAGACGAACAAACCAAAAAACCCAATAAGAATAATGAATAATCAAGCACACAAGCACCAAAGCACGCAGGAGCCAAAGCAGGTCTTGTCTTGGGTTTACTGGGCCTGCTTTTCTTGCTGCTTCCAGCTGCTGCTGCTGCTGCTTGCTTGCTGCTTCTGCTTACTGTTTGCTGCTAGCTGCTAGTCTACTGCTGCTGCTGCTGCTAAAACTACGGACTGTGAGGAGATGAGGGGCGGGCGCAGCAGCAAGAAGCGCTGCCAGCTGGGTGGGACGAAAGTTTGCCGACTCAGGAAAGGCTCTGACGGGGCTTTTCTTTTGGGTCGATTTTTCTTCTTTTTTTCTTTTCATTTTTAATTTGGTATTTAATTTTATTCTTTTTTATTTTAATGGATATTTCCACTTTTGTTTCCCATCTTTTCCTTCACAATATTTTTTTTTCCTTCTTTTTATTTCTTTTCTTCTGTGTTAGTTACCCTTCTGTCTTCTGTCCCTTAGTCGGTTAGTCTAGCCAGCAGCAAGAAAAAATCGAAATAAGAAGGTAAAAAAAAAAAAAAGAAAAGAAAAAAAGAGGACCGGGTCTTGTCGATCTGGATTTCATCTTGGTGGGAATCGTGTGGCCGTGGCGGGAAATAATGATGATACAAACATACATACATACATACATACATACACACACACAGTTTGGGAAGTAGTATTGGTATTGTCTTGGTATCCATAAGCATTCAGATTGGAATTGGATTGTTCTGTCGGGTGTACGACCTTGCTGTATGTATGTTTTAGATCATGATCCAGATATCAACTGCAGAGTCAGGAAATAATTACTACAGTCTTATCTTCACTCTTTGCTTTTCTCAAGATGATCTTCTACTTACAACCGCGGTCATGTCTACCCTTTAGTCTCCTCTCTCGAGCCATTGAGTTATTCATAATGTACTCAATGACTGCTGTATGTATGGATGTAGATAATCTTGGTAGTGAAGCTAGGGGAGAGCTACTGAAGTACTACTTTACCTATAAAAGGTACCTTCCACCGCGGATACCTGCCTACCCTGCTTGCTGCGACAGACCCAATACAGCGAGGTGTTAATCCCAGGGCCATGCAGTGGATACATCCACCGTCGGACCCAGCCCAACCAAACACGCTGCGACCAGATGACTGCTGCAGCCTGCGGGTTTGCAACCTGACATGGTCCTTATTTCCATCGCATGCAATTATTCTTGTACTATTTTTTTGGTAGTTGAACAACCCTAGGCAATAAAGTCTGCATTCTTTTCTTTTTGTTTTTCTTCTTTTATTTTTGTTATTTTCCTTATTGATTTCCATAGTTTTCGCTCTTTCACATAATGTTGATGGTAAATGGGAGAATCCGATAACTTGGAATTCAATGAAGCTTAAAAAACCGCCAGGCTTTTCGAACAAACCCATGGCTTGGGGCTTGTCTAAACCAGTGTATACATACCACAACTTGATCTATCTGCTCATCGACTTCAACGAGAATCGAGAGGTTTGATAACGATCTCTCGAATCATGTAGGGAGGATAGCATGTGCTCATTATATCGACATTCTGAATGAACACCACTCCCCAAGATGGAGGGAAATTGGGGGGTCTTTATTCGCAAGCACATCATCATGAGGCAAGGGGACGATCAAGACCCCCTTGGAAGGGTGTAGGTGGTGGGAATAAGTGATCAATTGAGAGATACATGGCAACAAGGAAACAAAACCAACAAAGGGCGAAAAAAAGAGGCAAAAGTAGACGAAGGATCGTGATCGACGTGTACCTACCTTGAGGATTCATAAATATGGCCGAATCGCTGCACGAAATCTGCAAGGACCTGAGCGAATGCACATGCAGAGAGCGACCAGGACGGCCAGAAAGAAACTGCGTGAGGCCTTTTCCCTGCGTGGTCTCGCGTTGTGACTCGTCGGGTTCCATTCGCGTCCCATGGGCCCTTATCGTCATAGGTCCTGTCCCGTTCTCCGCCCTGGCCTGGTCGGGGGGAATGGCCCTCGACGGCCATTCATCATTTTCGTAGATCGATTGCCGTTTGCAGCCACACCTCAGCCCTTTCTCATTGTTCACCTTTTGGATCGAACATCTGTTTTTCCTACTGCCCTACTAGACAGTTGTTCTGTTTCCAGCTGGGCGGCTGAATGGTAAGTAGATGTTAGCTGAACTTTGTGGATGGAGAGGCGGGAGAATGGGGGCGCTGAAATGGCGGTCTTAATGGATCAATACTTTTTTTTTTTGCCCTCTTTTTTCTAACAGGGGATTAAATTGCCCCGAAGAAACTCTCAACAACAATCAAATGACCAACCAGACCGATGACCGGGTAAAACTGGCAGCGCCTGGACTTTGTGGGAAAAGTTCAATGAAAGGAAAAACGGCCCCCACCAATGCGCCCCAGACCCATGGATCGTGGAGCAGCTAGCCTGCTACTGTCTATGACGGAGGACTAATCGGGTACCCAGGAGACATTCGAGAAGCAAGAACGGTCCATGTGGGAGTGGATGGTGCTATACTCTGAATAAGTTAAATGTGATTTTTTTTTCTCACTAGCACACTTGAAGAATTAATTGATCAAATTGATGGGAGGCATTACCTATTTACACACAGTACCATAATCCATTGGGGACAGTGTCTGTGGTTCACGTTAATAATAGATAGTGGCCGTCGGGGGAGATGGTCAAAGCGAACAAGACTAAGGAAATAAGCGGAAATCGATCAACTGATTGACTCTAACTAAGTACAATATGTAATATGTAACTAAATAGATACTAGAGAGTATCATGCTTGCTGCCAGATTGACTTCAGTGAGCAAAAGCGAAAAGACTATCAACATTCATTCCAATTGAGGTCATAGCCAGGAAATTCCGCACACACAAGGTTTGTGGTGTGGATTAGCCGCGATTATATAAAAAGAAAAATGGATGAGCAAAGCAAAAAAGGGCGACCATTCATTCCATGTGAGGGCGACTCCACTGGGACCAGCTCGAACCATGGAAATGAGGTCCATGTGGTGCCCATTGGTCAGGATCCGGGCACCGGCGGCTCGTATGGTAATTTTGGGCCACCGCAGCCTGTCATTGCCATTACAAGTTTTACAACAGTACCGCCCGCGCCTAATCAGGCAAGTCAGATTGCGGGTTCTGGAATCCCACGAGTTGTTTGTTCGGTGTCTGAGACAGAATTCCTTCAGCCTCGTGAAGGCCGAAGGGGGCTGATTCGTGGTTTTTCCCATCGTTCTAGATTCTAGCTAGTCTGTTTCAATTCACAATGGGCATGTGGTGGTGGTATTATGTCTATGTCTATGATCTAAACTCTAGTGTCTGTATGTATATTGTTCTAGTTTAACTCTCAGCTTGGCCTCGGCGCGCACGCGACGCGACCGACCGATTGACTGACTGCAGGATCCCGTGTGGTAATAACTTTACCTACTTGGGGTGTTGGGAAGAACCAGTCAACGCAACTTCAGGTGGCAAGAATACAGCGTCATCAATTCCGAGAAAAGGATGGTAATTGGCTCGAATAAGTCCAGAGAACGATCATCATCACCATCATCATCATCATTATCATCCCATGGAAAGGTCATTGGCATGAGCAAGGGAGCTATCTATGGGTTTTCTTCCCTTGATTCCATGTGTACCGTGAGCAAATTCCGAAAGATTGGGAAGGGAGGGGGATGGAGATGAAGAGATCGATCTAATTGAAGGTCATAATAATAACTACGGAATATCTACAAGGAATAAGGCTGCCTAGTGTGTCCTTTCCTAGCTTGGGCCACCCTTACTTCCAACTACACCAGGTCGATGGTGTTTATGATCAATTACACAACAAGAAGAACTGTTTGCTCACCCTCCTTTATTATCAGCACATATTTGCCATGCAGGTATCATTTAGATGCCACATATGCAACATACATGAGAAGCAAGTAGGGTCGGGTTGGTTACACTATCATGCCGCTGCTTGTTCAGCAGCCCGTCCCTTGCAGATTTCCGCCTTCCTTCTCCTTGCACCTGGCCGTTATCGATACACACCCTCCACCAACTCTTTCTTGCTTTTCGGCCGGGGACCCTCAACCAGGGATTCCTACTATAAGTACCTTGGGCTGGAAACCTGATACAGGACAGGGCCTTCATTGTAATCTTTTGTTACTGAAATGGGGGTTCCATGTTGAACCATGGATGTCGATATCTCAATACCAGGCATGATCCTGACGCAGAGTGTCCCAGGGAAGGAGGTTCCTAGCTGTTGTTTCATATAGGGTGAAACCAAGCTGAAGCTGAAAGTCTCATAGGGCAACGTATATTATTCCTCAACGCTCTACTACAGAGTAACTAAATATCTTTTCTACTTGTCCGCAAGTACAAGTCCGTACGAACCATCCAAGAATCACCCCAAAAATCACCTCTCAACGACCCACTCATGTCCACTCCTCCCAGCTGCGGTAGGTGATTGTCCGAAACTCTCACCAGTTCAGCAAGCACATCCCCACTCACATCGATCCCGGTCCCTCCGAACGGCTACGCGGTCACAGCCTCTTTCTTGGTTCGTGTCAGCTTCGGTTGTTAGGGACGCGGATGCGGCAACATCTGGAGCATGGGCTTATTATTATTATTAATATGGTCCATGTCGGGCCGGATATCGGGACAAAGTCACTGAAGTCTAGACTACTACTGTTGCCGTGTGGCATTGCTGTAGTAGAATACAATAATTAGAGAGGAGTGATTGAGCCAGGCGATAGAGACTGTAACGAATGATAGAACCCAAACAAAGTGTGACTCCAAGCCCTCATTATGCACCCTTAATATAAATATGTAATACCAACAATCCAAGTGTCCTTATTGTCCATCAACGCCATAGACGCCCCTGATACTCACTGCGCAGACATTATACCACATAGAAAGCACCCTCACCTCAACACCACACCACATCCCACATGATATCAAACCAACCCGAAAGGTACAGACGATAAATATCACCTCTCGTCATCTTCCTCCAACTCAACCACAAAATCCCCCATATCACAAGCCCCCTCCTCACCGGCCGCCAAATCCTCATCACAATACTCACCCACATTACCCAACTCATCCCCCAACAACTGAATCGTCCTCTCATAAACCTTCGCCGTCTCCATCTCCCATTTCCCAGGAATGGGCATATAATCCTCCAGTTTATTTGCATTCCCATAGACATCCTCAAACTCTTCATCCTCATCCTCATCATAGTCATCCTCCCCGTTAGCATCCTCATTCTCCTTCTCTCTCGTCTCAACAACCAACACCCGACACGACTCCGCAATACTCTTGATCCGGACCTTCTCCGTCATAGACACGACACTCTTTTTCTCCTCGTTACCACCACCCAAAAGCTCCGCAAACACCTCATCCAACTTCCGCAGTAACCGGAACGTAGGCGCCGCCGAGAAGGGATACTCGGGCAGGTAGGAGTTGACTTGAATGGCTAGGGAGATGAGGTAGGGGATTTGGAGAGATGCTATTGTTCCAGGTTCATATTAGCATTCGCTCAGAACATAAAGAAAAAAAGAAGGATGAGAGAGAGGGGATACATACGCGTCCCACTAACCCAAAGCACATCCACCAAACCCTTTAAATCACGAGCAACTTCTTTGAAGCTTTCGTAGCCTTGTACTTCACCTTCCTCTTCTCCCTTCCCATACCCTCGGGTTGAGAATGATTCCGGAGAATAGTTCGCATTGAAGTTGGATTCATCGTTAGGCTTATAGTAAGCACTGCTGAACTTCTTCGCATGCCGGCGCGAGATCCTCAGTAGAGTTGTATCGATGTGATTAATCACTGTTGCTTCTTTGGCGGAGCCCGCGCGGAGAGGATGTGTTCGGGGTTTGGGGAGGAGGGAGGGCGTGCTTGGTCGTGGGGTGGAGGGGGCTGGGGATGGGAGGGTTGGGGGGAGGAAACCTCCTCCTCTTTCTCCTTCTCCGCTGGTAGTTGTTGTAGAGGTCATTGTTTGGTTGTGTAGTGAAAAGTGAGGTTGAGGTTTTTTTTCTTTTCTGGAGTTGCGATGAGATAGTCAAATGGTGGGGTGGTGGTGGTGTGGGGTAGTAGATTGTTTGCGGACACGGGGTGGACTCTTGATCCGGGATGTTGCTGTTGCTTCTGCTAGATATTATGGGTATGCATGTTGTTGTCTTTGGGTGGGCTGATCTGATCTGATGCTCTTTGGTTGATCTCTTGATTGTCCGATGCGATGCGATGCGATGCGCCGCGCCGACGATGTCATCGCCAAGCCGGGTTGGTCTGTGCGTTACTATACTGAATGTTGGATGGATGTCGACAACTTATATACAGAATTAAGGGAATGAGGGTTACATGTTACAACTACACGTGTAGGATTGAATATGGACATCAAATAATCACGTTATGTATAGATATCTAGTCTACAAGAAGCGAACATATGCCTAAGCCAGCAAGTCAGCAATGCATACAGAACTCATCTAGATAAGCAAATGACGAAAAATATTGCTTCAGATAGGTGAGAAGATTGGAATAAGCTGGTTTTTGTAGACATAGCATGACATCAAGCGACTGCTGAGTCTTGCTACTCTGGCCCCAGCGGACTCATCATATGCAGTGCAGACCATACAAAAGAAAAGAAAGTGTCCAAACTCACACCATCCGGCATCCCTCCAAGCCAATTCTCTATCGAATAAAGCACTTTTTGGACGAACCCCCCAAACGCCATGCTAAACCGACCCAACAATGCCAAACAGTCGAACGAAAAAGATTACTCAGGCTAGGGAGATCATTAGCACCTACACATTAAAACCAATGAGCGATGAAAAGGGGAAACATACCGCAATCTTCCCCTTTCGCTTCTTCATATCCGCCAACTTCCTCCTATCATCATCAAACTTCTTAAGCAGCTGGTTCTGCTTCTCCTTTCTCTTCTCACGCGACTGGAAGCGATAAAAGTCCTCCAATCCCTTCGACTTCTCCTTCTGCTTCTCGATCAACTCCTTAGCCTCATCCTCATGAGCAGCCTCCGCCAACTTCGGCCCAGACGTAACAGTAATAAATCCATCCTCGTCGGGTTCCTGCGCCCTGCGCGCCTCCTCCCTCTTTCTGACCTCCGCAACCTGCGTAAACACCGTCATGTAATCATTGACGGTGCGCAACAACTCCGCTCGATCCGGATACCTCAACTGCTCATGGGTAATGTACCTCTGCAAGCCCAGAGCAGGTACCCGATCACCCTCCACACCCTCACCCCAGACAATCTCCGTGCCCTTTTTGGAGGCCTTGCGCGCCGCTTTCAAACTCGCCTCCATGCTGGGCTTATCGGCGAAGACGACGATCGCGTGCGATCCGCTCTTCTGGAGCTGTCGGTCCCAGGTAGCGGGGAGATCGACATCGTCCAGCTGTGCTTGGAGTTCGTCGGCGGTGACGCGCTTGCGTTTCTTGCTGCTGGCGATGTTGCCTTGAGGGGTGGCTTGCATGCCCTTCTTTTTGGTGGGGACGGCTTCGAACTCAACGCGCTCTACGCGGCCTGCGGAGAGCTGGGTGCCGAAAAGGTGGCGCAGGTGGGTTTCGGTCGTGTCGACGGGGATGTTCACGATGAACATGGAGCGGGGGGTGTCCGCATCTGGGATGCGAGGCTCGTGGGCGCGGAGGTAGAGGTAGTGTGTTGCTGGCTTGGGGAATGCTGGTGTTGCGGGGAAGTGTAGGGGCAGGATTGAGAATCCTGCAATCTCGAGATCTTTCTTCATATTGACTGACACTCTCGGAGTTACTTGTTTTCTAGGTGAAGAGAAAAGTAAAGGAGTGATTGACTGGCAGGGGTTGCGGAAATTGTAGCGCCGCAAAATAGTTGGCGGAGAGACTTTTTTTACTTTAGCGGGAAATTTTGCAACGGCAGTTTGGAAGGCGGAGAGAGCTGTTTGCTTTACCCGATAACTATGGAGTAACTTGGAAGTACTTGACCTCAAATTCAGAATCAATTTGTTGCTGACACTGTAGTTCATCGTTGTTGCAGATAGATCGCATTCAGTAGAAATAAAAAAAAGAAGTGCACTCTTAGCATGTGCCATATGGCCTCTTCACGATTCTTTCTATGCTCCGTCATGAACCATGTCTTTATCGGAACTACGCCTTATCAGGATCATTGATCCCACCATTGGTGATGACATACGTCGCTTCTCTCTCAGGGCAGTCTGTTGACAGTTAGAGTACTAAAATGAGACGTATACACTGTGGCATACCTGGCGAGTCCTGGATCTTAGCCACTCGCTCTTCACCACGACCCTTGCGGAGGAGCACTCGAGTCGCCGATGCATGTGCCAGGACATGACCTCCAACGGGCTTGCGGCCATCGGCTCCAGCGAAGAGTGCACTAGCGCCAGGGTCACTCTGTACCTGGTTGGTCTGTAGTGCATTAGACTATATCTATCTGCATGTCGATGGGGAACGGACCATCAGAACACAGATGTTGAATTCTGCACACGAAAATGTCAGCCCTCCAGTACTTGATATATATATATCAGGAGTGAAAATAATACCCTCAGCCATATGAGCTAGCTTCATCAAGAACTGATTCAACTTCTGCTGACGATCAGCAAGCTCTCCGCGTCCACAATAATCGACCCTGAAGCAATTCATGATGCTATCAATGATCAACAACCTGTATTCTCCACCAGCGAACTCTTTACTGAGGGTATTCAACAACTCCAGCTGATGCTCGCTGTTCAACGCTCGCGCATAAGCAATATTCTCCTGGGCAGCATCAGCATCGACGCCAAACCGCTCTGCAATCTGAGCGATGCGCTCAGGCCTGAACGTTCCCTCGGTATCAATATATGCCACCTTGCCGTCTGCGCCGCCCAGTTCCTTGGGAAGTTGGGCTACGACGGACATGGTGTGCGATAACTGAGTCTTGCCGCATCGAAACTCGCCGAAGACTTCGCTGATGCTCATGCTTTGGAAGCCACTAGGTGAGATCAACTTAGTCTTTTCTCCTTAGAGCAATAGATAAGAAGAAGGTAAGAACTTACCCTCCCAAGATAGAATCAAACTGTTTACTCCCAGTAGAAATCCTAACGATCCTCTTCCGTTGATGGCAGAGTTCCATTGCCGTGATGAAACCCGAAGCCGAGGGCTGTATGGGTAGACAGTTAGCACCTCACTCATATACAATAACCCCTAACATCATCATGTAGTATACATACCAAGCTCTTCTGAATAGCATCCTTGATTTTCTCGACCTTGACCTCACTGAACCCCTTTATCTTCAACAGGTTCTTGCGTGTGGCACCGTGAACAGACTGAGCAGGTTAACAGCGAGGCTCTCTTCAAACATCAAGGAGACCGGACAATCCATACAGCAACGGTATAGTATCCGTTCGTCTTCAGCTTTGTGATATCCGCTACTCCGATGCCTTGAACATACTATTAGTATACGGAGGTGAAAGGAAGTGAAAAGTGACGAGTATATACCATGGGCTTGAATGTTATCGATATCAAGGATGAAGACCTGTCAAAGACACAATGTCAATCCAATGTTATAAGATAAATAGACTATGCAGTCAATGTAAATTGCTCCTATTAGGAAATATTGAATCATGGGTGTAGAGGAATGGCTACATCATCGTTGAACTCGTCGCTTGTGTTTGAGCTGGGCATGATTGTCACTGAAATTCAATTGATATGGGGAGACCTGAAGGTTGGACAGGCAGAGACGATGTTACAGAGCTGATTGAATGTCCATGGCAGCTGCGGACAAGCGATTGAGCACGAAGGCAGTTGGTATGAGAACGAAGTAGATTAGTCCAGCGTCACGGGGTCTGCTCGTGACAGGAAGAGCACTACAAACCAAGCCCATCAGACAATTGACTGATGGCTATACTTTATTTATTTCCCTTAGACCAGGATGGGGACAGCATAAGCTGGATGACATATCTTCACACCCGATCAATCTGATAGCTTTGCCCAGTAAGCTACTGATACAACATGAAGGCTTTATCCAACCGATGCTCTCGATATCTGCAATAGACGCACTTTTTGAATCTGAAATAAATGCTCCGTTTTTGCTTTTCTCTTTTTTGTTTTGCTTCCCATTTGACGAATATATGGAGGATATAGTACGAAAAGATGAGGAGGTAACCACCGCGCCAGGTACCTGTAGACCATTCACTATCTTCATCACACACAATCCCATCCGTATCAACTTGAAGCCTCTTCCCATGCATATCAAAACGCTTGCTTCGGTCCACCAATGTCTCTGCTGCGCTCACTTCACCTTTCACCTCGCCTGGCCTCGTTCTCCCTCTTTTCTTTGCCGCACCTAAATTTGGAAATGAGAAAGATACCCGAGGAGATCAATAGACGCCAACCATAAGACCCTGAGCCGTGTATAGGATCCAAGCAATAAAGGAACCTAAGACTTCGTGAAACTTTTGTTCGTCGTATACATAATAGGAATAGAAACCGGTCGGTGCCGAGAAGTGGAACAGGAGGGGCGCAATATATGCAAAGGAAGAAACCATGGGAATAATGAAAAATGAGACCGATATCGGCAAACCCTATTACAAAAAGAAAGAATGGAAAAAAGGCTCCCAGAAAGTGGGATCAATCAGTCATTAAATTCGTCCTCTATGCGACAGCGGTAGTAGGAGCCGCAGCAGCAACGGGAGCAGCCTCCGCGCTGACCTCGGCAGCGGCGGCGGCAGGGGCAGCAGGGGCAGCAGTGGCATCAACGGGCTGCTGAGCGACGGCCTCGTTGCTGGGGCAGTCGCGGGAGATGTGTCCGGCCTGGGAGCACTTGTAGCAGACCTTGCCGGCGGAGCTCAGGGGACCGCCGTTGGGGGCAGTGCATTCGCGGGAGATGTGACCCTATAGATTCAGATAAGCCTCAACGTTCGTATCGGATCAAGTATGACAAGAACACCTACCAGCTTGCCACAGGCGTAGCACTTCATAGCCTGAGCCTGGCAATCACGGGCGAAGTGGTTGGGGCCACCGCACTTGTAGCAAGTAGCAGCACGGGGGTATCCGTATCCACCACGGAAACCGCTGTTGAATCCGCCGCGGGGAGCAGGGGCCCGGGGAGCACCGGAAGCAGGAGCGGGGCAGTTGCGCTAGGAGAAGGTCAACAACGATTTTGCCCGGAAAGCAATAAGCTGGGATCGACGAGAAAACGTACGGCAAGGTGACCGGGCTGGCTGCAGTTGTAGCAGCGGCCGTTGGCACCGTTAAGGCGCAACGTAGGACAATCGGCCTGAACGTGGCCTAGTCCCTGGCAGTTGTAGCATTGCTTGGCTGGATCGGAGATATATCAGCATTCCGGTGCGTTGCAGCCACGAGGACCGAAAACCTTACTCTCAGTCGTACGAGGACGCGGGCAGCTGCTGGACTCATGGCCTGTCGATTGATCGATCAGAGATATTGTTCGAGCGACGTGACACACAGAAGGGACCTACCAGGCTGCTTGCCTGTTGAACAGCGTAATTATATCAGCAAATGATGCGCAACGAATAAGCTACCAATGAACAGGGTCTACTCACAGTTGTAGCAGAGACGCTCCGAGGAAGAGCAGACCTCTACCTCAGCCCGTTAGTAAATTCCAGGATGGGCCAAGGCGTTTCCTTCCCAAAGCAACTACTAACCAGCGTAGTGGCCAATGTTGCCACACTTGTAGCAGGCACGACGAGACAACAACATTTTGTCGGTAAAGATTGAGCTAGAAAAGAGGAAGTCACTCGGTCAGCGCTTCTGGTCCATGCTTGTGAATATCCGCAGCCGGAACAGCCATTCGCTTCGGCATAGCAAGTGGGCGTCATAGAACACAATTCGTCGGCGGCGCAACTAGACGGAACTCATATATTCCATGCACTCAGCTGCCGCGGGACGAAGTGTAAGCGACTCAATCCTCCACTGCCGAGTTCATAATGGAGGGCTTGTCTTTCATGGAAGTAGGATGCGGACAAAAAATCGGCCGAAGAATGGGTGGAAGGCACTGAAGTCGCGAAACGGCCACGGGAACGTATTGAAGTCACGAGGAACATCTGACAGCACTCACTCTTCCTAAAACCAACAACAGATCTTCTAATCTCCTTGTCAATAGGACTGTTCGGATTGTCAGCTTGAGAACCTTGGAGGAGGAATAGCAGCACTTCCGACAGCCCACTCTTGAGACTCGAAAAAGTGGGCTGACAAAGCCAAAAGCGACACCAAATGGGGAATAACCATAGGGAAAAAAATGACAGGAAAGAAAAAAAAAAAAGAAAGGCACACAAACCCAGCACTGAACACACTCCAAACTAGACCTCACAGCAACACCAATCCCTCCGAACCACGAGAGACGAATAAGCAAAAAATGATAGCTCTTGAACAAGATTTCTCCTGACACACAAAGACGGATGAGTAGAAAAGGGTTTCGAATGCAACAACTTAAGCGATGAAGCTAAGCAAGGAAACGGAAAGAAACCAGTGTCGCAGGGCTTCTTTTTCCGTACGGTAACGGGAAAGATACCGGTTTGAATCGAAATTTACCATGGGTCCCGGCCGTTCCCGTATCGCGTAAGGTGGTCGATCCGCTGCCTGATTGGCTGTGAGCTCTCGCGTGTGCACGGCCTGAGGCACACGTTCCGGTTATGACTTGTATTGCCTCTATTACTGGGGACTGGCGGTACATGCTTGAAACTGTCCGTCTGGCAGTTGTCATTCTCGATGACATGCAGCTCTGTGGCGCGGCCTCTCGAGTCCGGTGCACTTTTCTTTTTTGCACCTGGAGCAGACACGTCCGAAGATGGAGTTGGACTATTGCGAGAAGGCCCAGTCTAGACCTGGCTCTAGAGAAGACCGAGCTAAATTCATGTAGCTATAGTCACTCTGCTAGAAGTATACGAGGAAGCCAGATCGGCCAGCTGTATCAGTATGGGCCAATGTAAATTCCAGTGAAATTTATGACCGCATCCAAGCTGTCTGGTACTAATCAAGGCCACCGACGTGCAAATCATGGATTCCTCCAAGCTTTCCTTGTTACCCTCCCAAGGTTCGCCCACGGGTTTTCCTACGGTACGCCTCGATCGCGACATACAGAAGAGTATTTGGGACGCGAGCTATCGACATATTTGGCTTCAAAAATGTAACCCTGCCTATACACAGCGGGCGGTTGATTTATGCATTATTAGTAGTTCCATACAAGCTGTCCTAACTCCCGCAATATGATGATTCCATTTACTCTTCCTTCTCAACCACAGCAGGGGCCTTGAGCTCACGGCCCTTCAGGAAATCCAGCCCTTCTCCGCCCTGTAACTCAGAAGTCAGTCTGGTTTCGAGCACGCATGTGGTAAAGCAATCGATTTCATGGACGCGAATACGGAAGCACTTACGTAGCTGATCAAAGGCGAGACTTCCACGCCAACAGCCTCGCCTTCAGTGACAACGACACCACCGGCCTTCTCGATCCAGCGCTGTCCCTGCTTCATGATGTCGGCCTTGCTGGTGTCGGGGTCGTCCTCGCCAGTGCCGCGGGCGTTCTTGAGGGGAGAGAACTCGTCCTCACGACGCACCTCAATGCTGGCGAACTTCTCGAGAGGGGTCATGGGGAAAACGTCAAACACAAACTGCTCGAGCTTGATGCCGTTGGGCTTCTCGGGCTTGAACGCCTCGCCGGTCTCAGGCTTGATGCAGGGGATCTTCTTGCGGGCAACGTGGTGGGGCAGCTTATGAGACCAGTTCTCAATGGATTCGAAGAAGCGGAAGGAGTAGTAGTGGTTCACAATGTTGGCGGCACGGAACTTCAGGACATCGGGCTGCTTGGGGTCCTTGGCCTCGGCCGTTTCCTGGTCGATCTCAGAGTATTCAACGACGTCGGGCTTTCCGTTTCTCTGGAGGATCAGACCGACCGACTCGGTGGCATTGCGCTTGCGGACGACCTTCGTAGCAATGTCGACGTCCTTCGAGGCAGCAAAGCCGATGAAGACAGGGTCGGCAACCTTGACCAGGCAGTTGTCGACACAGTAGGTGTGAATGTGCTGGATTCCACGCTTGCGCATATCCTCCCTCACGCCGGAAGTCAAGAGGGCAAGGTAGATACCACCGTTGCCATCGGGAGCAACAGCTGCCTAAAACATAGGGTCAGAGAGGGGCCTTGGGCCAGGAATGTGAATGAAAGAACGCACCTTAGACTTGCTCTCCATCAGAATCTTGCCCTCGTTAGAGATGCAAGGCAGAACACCCTGCTCGAAGATAACCACATTGCTCTTGTCGAGGCCGAAGTAGTTGTGCTGCTGGAAAAACTCCTCCGTGGGTTTACGAGTAGGCCCGCTGGTCATGACATACCAAGGGATGACGGCATCCTTGCCAGAAGACTTCTTCGCCAGGAGTTGGAGCTTAGCAATACGCTCGGCCTGGATCTGGAAGAGAGACTTGTGGCTGGGGAGGCCGATGTCAAAGCAACCCTTGGGGGCGGAGCTACCCAGACGGGTGCCTTGTCCACCAGCCATCAACACCACAGCGACCTTGTTGCCAGCAACCAACTGCAGACCCTCATCGTACCACTTCTGAATGTCCTTGGGGTCCGAATCCAGGATCGATGCGGTGGCGACTTCGGGGAGGGGTTCCAGGGAGACCGGGCCTTGCTCGGCCTTGGGAGGGTTCAGAGCCTTCTCGGCCAGCTCGTTGATGCGGACGGGATCGAAGTTGTTCAACTGGTGGAAAAGCTGAGTCTTCTCAGCGGGCTTCAGCTCGTCGACGAACGCAAAGACCTGTCCTTGCCCGGCATCGGTGTACTTCTTCTTCAGTTGCTCGAATTCCTCGGGGGAGGGCTCACGGAGAGCGGGCTCGGACTGGCCATGAATGAGGTTGGAGACGGTTTCTTTGATTGCAGCGGCAGCCATGATTGCGGATGATGAATGAAATAGGATAGGTAATATGAGGAGGAGAAGGAGGGAGAAAGGATGGGAAGGCTGAAGGGAAAGGGAGAATACTTAGAGGGGTATAGAGGGGGGAAAGAGGAAGATGGGAGGAAGGGAGGAGGGGTGTACAGGGTGTGAAAGCGCGGGGGATCTGTCCGTCAAGAATAAATAATACCAGGCCACATCCCTACTAAGTAAATACTAACATGCTACGTAGTCCTGCTGCAGCGCCATATTATTGACCGCCTGGATCCCTGAGAGTTTCAATTGATTATTTTTAGACGGACTAGCGACTGCCGCAGATACATTATTATGGCTTATGAGGGGCCACTATTCCCTCACGCCCATGAATTGCTCGATCGCAGCCCTCCGTCCAGCTTGTTGCAGCCAATCGAATTCCAAGCTGTTGGAGGGGCCGGCGGGGCAGGCCGTGGACCCGGTTTCAGGCTTTCAGGCTTCCAAGCTCACCGACTGGCGCCAGTTCAGATCTGCTTGTCCACCTGACCCCTGAAGAGGTTCCTGGATCTGAGTCTGACTAAGAGGAAGAGAAAGAAGGGGAACCTAAGTCACTAAAGTCACAAACTAGTTCAAGTGCATGATAAAGAAAAACACACTAACTTTCGCTTCATAGCATAATATACTTATAAGATAAGATGACATTCATACATCCGTCATTCTTAAATGACGGTATCTTTTAAGAATGGTATTAGCGTATGGTTAATTTACATTATTTACCCCCCCAAAGCGTCAACGACGCCGCCTCTCCCGGTATCTATCATCGTCACGGCGATCCCGTCGCCGCTCATTGTCGTTATATCTGCGGTCTCGGTCCCCGTAAGAATCCCGCCGTGGTGGACTCCGGCTGTAGGATCGATCTCGGTACCGATTACGATATGAGTCCCGCCGGGGACTCCGACTGACTCGTCTTTCCCGTTGTGGCTTCCGCGGTGGGCTTCGACTATGAGACCGCTCGTCCCGACCAGATTTCGCTCGGGGCGCATTCTTATCGAAGACCATGTGATAATCATCGTCTCGTTGACGAGTATTCTCTGTTGCCCGGTACTGGCGTTTCTTTTCTAGGCCTGCGACACCACCAAAGCCACCCCGCTGGCTACTGCGCTTGGTGATCGTAGCATTGCGCCAGCTCTCGGACAATTTAGATACCTATTTTTGTCATCATTGTTAGCCCATGTTGGGAAGATTGGGCGGACGGCAGACTCACACTCTGGGAGAAATCAACATGAATACGGTGGTCATCAATCAAGACACCCTGCATCTTGAAGTATGCCTGTTCGCAATCCTTCTGGTTCTCGAACTCGATAAAAGCGTATTGTAGACTGTCACCTGTACGCTTGTCGCGGATGACCTCACAAGACAGAATGGGTCCGAAGCGACTGAAGATTAGGTTGAGGTCCTCGTCTAATGGGCGTGTGAGTTCGGAACGTGACCACGGCGCAATTTGGAATGCATACCTTGGGTGACGGGATTCAACTTGCAGACAAACAAGACGTTCTCTGGCGGCTTGACCTCGGCGAAGGGAAGATCGCCAACCATTTCCAGCGTCAACGCCTGTGCCCTTGCTTCGCGCTCCCGTCGCAGCCTCTCCATTGACTCCTCGTCCATGTCGTCATCCAAGTCTTCATCATCGGCGATTCTTACCGTAGCCAGCTGTGCCTTGGACGGCACCGGGCTCTCCGGTGGCTCTACCAAGCCTTCGGGGTCTTCAAAAGGATCATCGAGGATGACGGTATGACGGATACGTATGTCTTTGAGCGGGCGGCCGCGATCATCAATAAAGGCCTCGTTGACTTTCTCCAGGACGTCAAACCCCTCCACCACTTTCCCGAAGATCACCGCCTTGCCGTCCAAGTAATCAAGGTTGTCTCCAAGTGTGATGATGAACTGACTGGCGGCAATGCGCAGATCGGGGTCGTTGGGGGAAGGTACGGTGGCCATGCTCACAGTGCCTCGTTCGTCATGCTTCAACTTGGGCGGGAGCTGGAGGGGAAATGTCCGCTGAGAAGGGCCCTGCAGCAAGCCCCATATCGACGATCCACCATCGCTTTCTGAGGAGTCGGGCCCAATCGGATCGCCAGTCTGGAAGGTGAAGTTCTTTTGGACGCTGTGGACGGGCGAGAAATTGTAATATTTAACTTTGCATAGCTTCAGAAAGCTAAAGCGGAAAACCACAGACAGCTTAGTTCCAGTTCAGCTACTCGATTTGTACGCGCGCGCAAGAAAAACACAGCAGAAGAAGGGAAACGAGGAAATAGGGGATTGCTCACTTTTCGCACGCTTTAGGGGACTCATCGACCAGCAGGTCGATAACGATGTCCCCGAGGGAAGTTTCCAGCAGGACACTCATGGCAAATACCCGGCCGCTGCGGGCGGAACTGCGAGGATCGACGATGCGTTAGACAGGAAGAGGAAAATGGAGACAAGGACAGGAAAAGGCCCCAGAAAAAGTGAGACGCTAATAGGCCCGAACGATCAAGGACTGGGATGGCCGAGGAAAGAAAGAGAGAGTAGTGTGAGTGAGTGAGTGAGTGAGTGAGTGAGTGCACCGAATGATGCAAAAAGACCAGGATGGATGCCGAGGAGAGGCGAAGCTCTACGGGGCGGTAGGAAGACGCGAGTCTGTTTTAGTTGAGTTTTGGCGGGCCAACGGGTTCAGCATCGACTCTTTGCGATGACTGGCGCAGAAATGTCATGATTCATGCGCACTCAAAGTCCTTGCTGTCCAGTCAAATTATTCTTGCTCTTGTTCTTTGTTGTTCTTTGTTTTCTTTGTCCTATTTCATTTTTTTTCCCTTTTTCTTATTCCTGTTCCATGCGTCGATCAGCTACCAGCTACTTCTGTACTTTGTACCCAAAGTGCAACTAGTCTCTCTAGTCAATCTACTATCTGGTCTACTAAACAGTTGCTAGATCTCTCCCATGATCAAATGATCAATCAATCAACACCTCAACGCAACTAAACTAACCAATTGTCGATCAACAAATCCTGGCCGGGTTGGTACTAATCTACTTATGGTCTGGCTCTGGCCAACGGGGTAGTCTATATCCTAGTTTATTGACGGAATGACAGCAAGATGACGGGCTCACGGACCCTGAAGCATCGTGCGCTGCTTCACACTCTCGGCGCCTTTCGGGGTGTTCCCAGTTCCCACTGTCGGATGGTCGAACCGGCGCTTCCTCCTCCCGTGTAACCGCCGTCTTTCTCAATTGAGCGGCATAACTTCCGGAGAACCCTGTTGGACGAGGGCAATTAAAGCAAGAAATCGTTTTACACTAGGCTTGGGCCGAGATCAAGCATGCACTGTTTGTTGCTGTGACGGAGTTGTTGCCGTTGGCTCCATGCCACAACTTACCAGCTGCGCAGGCCGTCGGCTTTACGGTGCACAAAGCAGAGAGCTTTGGAAGTAAAGGGAACCGAAAAGGCGAAAAGGCACGACAATTAAGCCTAAATATGCTCAACCAGGAAGCAACAGGTACACCACGGGGAATGACCCGGCTCAGCAGTAGAAAGAGAACAGATGATATCAGATGCTTTGGGATGTTTGGTTCCCTACCCTGTATCCCATCTGCTTCGTGAGTTCCACTACAGGGGCGTTGAAAAAAACGGGCGGTCTCTTGCAGATGGATCCAACAGTCGTTCAATCATCCCATCAATGACTCGGTGCAGCTATGCCAGCAATCATCTACTATCTATTAGAGACACGTGGTGTACTTTACCTAACCTGGAGCCCCTTTACAATAAGGATTGACTCAGGGCGCCGTTGGGGACCGAGAGAACAAAATGGGATTCTGGATCTCCAAAGGGGTTCTCCTATTCGGGGGTTGGTCCTATTGCCAATGGCAGAGGAGTTAATCCAAGCACTATGTGATAGTGAGGTGAAAGAAGTAAATTGGATATTACGCCTTTCAGCTTACAGCTAGGACTTTGTTCTTGTCATTTTCTTTTTCTCCAGTTTTCTAGCTTTGCTTTTTGTTACTAGGTTTCTATATTCAGTTCAAACTATATCCTTCTGTCTAGCCTTTCGTACTGCTCCCTTTTTCCGTGTTTACCTCTTGCTCACCTATCTCTACCTCACTTTTCTTTGTTTTTCTCAGCTCATTTCGTTGGCTACTGATTTTGAAATATAGGATTCCGAGCCTTATCTCTCTGTGATCTTCCTTGATCGCCAACCAAAGACACACTAACCATTTTAGCTCCGTTCGTTGATCTTGTAGTTTCCGTGATATTCATTACTTTGCACCTACCTTACAACTGACAAGTGGAAACCGTTCCGATCTGGGCCAATCGTTGTCTTAAAAACTGGTGGGTTTGAGCGCCAGCAGATGTTGACACTTTGACAGCCCCTGCTAGGCAGTGAGAATATGTACGGGACCCCGTGCCCCTGAACCTCATGCATACTAAGATCTCCCATGCCCCACAGCCCTTGTCAGGCCTCGTCGGGTTCAGGAAGTACCTCGCCATTATCCTATTCGCCAGAAAGCACTTCCCTTTTTCTTTTTTTTTCTGCTTTCCCTCTTATTGTTCGGGTCTCCGTGGCAAACCTGGAAACAAGAGCCATGCATACTAGTGCAGATCCAGTCCCAGCCCGGTGACCGGGACACGGTTTCAAAGACGGTCCATTATATACCAGGGCCAGTCTCTGGTCCAGTCTTGGCTGCTAAGCCACATTGTGATGCTTTACTGGGAATGAAACGATCCAATCGAGCCCAGCGGTTGCCGTGATTTCCTGTAATGAGATAATGAGACCTCTGGGAAAGCAAGCTTTCTGAAAAAATGGGGCTACATCATTGGAACAAATCCGTTTGCACAGCAAGCTCGAACTCGGTCATGTATCCGCCTTCTCCTTACCTTGACAAGGAATCCCGATATCTAGAGTGACTCGTGGCTATGATTCTCATTCGATCCGATTCGAGAATGCTGTATGTCAAAAGTACTGACAGATTTAGACGTGCAGGTCACTGGAAGAAAAAAAGAAGAAGAAGAACGAGGGTTGTTTGATACCGGCGGTTGCAGCCAATAGGATTATCTATGTCGACCATTGTCCTATTATCGGCAAACATGCACACGTTAAATGCTTCCGCAACCCCCAGTCAACAGGGTAGTTAGGTGGGCGCATCTGAGAGGGTTCCTGCAAACGTAGCCGGCGGCTGTCTGCTCCGCGACCGCTTATTACTGATGCCGACTTGGCCTGTCACTTTGAACGCCGTTTCTTTTATGAGAGCAGCATGTCATCATCCAAACACTGGAGTGGCGGAGACAGAAGCACCAGTGGAGGGCTCTTTGGGAGGTGATTGGATGAAACAGCTCAGAGATCTCTGACCTTCCCAGCTAGGCTTGATAGGCCTTGCGGTAATGACTATCAAATCAGGTCAACTGGTGCAACGTTACTTTTGTGAAACAGAACCTCTAAAACGCCGGGGTATTTTGGCCTGCCCGGTCTACTATCAGCATGCCTTGGGGGTCCTCCAACTCAGAATTTCTTATTTCCTTTCTTGAATAATGATGCAACACGGAAAATTGCATGTTACTTCCCTGGTACAACCAGAGCGAGAGCAGTTAAGGTATCAAACTAGAAACCCACCTCGAATCAGGACGTGACGTTAATTCCCCTTGGAACTGGGGAAATGCTCCTGGTGAGGTGATGATCGGTCTGAAAAACGTATCTCCAAGGCTAGAAGCCAACAGCTGGGGCCTTTCCCTACGCAGAAAATAAAATGGAAAATAAAACAATTGAACCTAAAAAGAAAAGGGCCAGGCCTCCTTCTAGCAGCAAGTCTACGCACCACTGACACATGGACTTAAATCTGGCCTTGATTCCAGCCAAAGCCCCCCTCATCCCTCCCGGTTTCTTTCTGAATATTTGATGGTAGACGGAACATGCTGGTCCCTATCATCCCTGATTTACCGACCTTTTTATGCTCGCAGCAAACCTTTGAGAAGCATTCTTACTCCTTAGTCTTGTCTTGACTACATGTGAGTCTCGCTAAAGAGAACATCATGTTTCCCTCCGCACTGATTGATCAAGCGATGGTTCAATCATATTATTCTCCAGAGGACGAGGTCCGCTTCGGTCCACAACCCAAGCGAGAAACTTTGTCAATAGCACACTCTGTTCGGAGTGACTCTCTTCATGACATGGTGGATAGAAGCTCTGCTTGTGTGAGCCCTAGCAGCGAGCTAGATAGCAAGAACCGGAACTCCACCAGGCGTCGGATACAAGTGGCAGTAAGTTCCTTTATCCAAAGATAAGCTGCGACTGTAAGAAGGTTAGGCACTGATCACAATCAGTGTAACCGATGTCGAAAAAGAAAGATCAAATGTAGTGGTGACAGTGGCAATGGACATGGTTGCTCCAACTGCATCAATTCCGGAAACAAGAATTGTCAGTTCTTGAGGGTATGTACTGTGTCCTCATCAGAGCCCTCAACCATAAAGACATTTAGCTGATCGGTCATAGGTGAATTCGGAAATGATGCAGCCGAGAGCCAGCGAATGGTCCCAGATCTCGGGAGCTACTACAATGTCTCCGTCTCCAAGATCCGGTCTGTATGTACCGACTACGACGTCCAAGATAGGGGAAGTGCCGACGACCTCTCCCAGTTTTCGCATGGCCCCTTTCCCGCGGGCCTCCAGTTATGATCTCGGATCAGCCGATCCTCATAGTGCATACCATCGACACCCCTTTGGAGTGGACCACGGTTTGCCCTATCCAGACGAGGCTTCAGCGTACGCATCTCCGTCGTCTGGGTACATCCTGCCGAGTGCTCCACCGAACATATTCATGGATCACTGCGGACAGACATGGAATCCAAAAGTGTGGAATCAAAGTGTTCATGTTGGCAGGAGTCCCAGTGGACCGGTATACTCAGACAGCGATCACGAGGCCACATTGAATCAATCAGCGTTTTACGTTCCTCATTCGACAGAAGACCTACCAATCGTCCCAACGATGAGCTTTCCTACCGCAGAAGGGCAAGGGACGGATCGGACGCTTCCCGATCCCAGTCGGAATCAAGCTCAGATGGGGATGAACTCCTTTACGACAACTGAAGAAACTCTCTATGGGATACCGTACGGGTACCGGACCAGCAACAGCTGGGCCCACAAGAGCGCCATGTTGAACCATGGCCGTATGCAGAGCCCAAGCGAGGCTTACAGAAGCGGTCCTATCAACCGGAGTAGATCGGTGCAAGATATGATGTTTGGGTACTTGCCGTCGAATGGCAGTTCATCGCCTCTAGTCCCTGCTGGTTCGTTTGCTCCTGCGTTGGACGCGGTTGACACGAGCGACGGGCTTCGCGAGAGCCCCAGCGATAGCCACCAACCATCGCGGACGTTCTCGCATGACCACCTTTCCGACTACGGCTCTGATACCTACGTGTATAGCAGTAGTGAAAGGCGCGAGAAAAACCACTCTCAAAGCGACGGGGCAGGGTCGATGCTGATGAGCGGCCTCACGTACACGCGCCCAGTGCCGGGACATCCCAGTCCTCCGCCGTTGGTTCACAGCCCAGCGTTTCGAACAGCCACGGAGATACACCACCACACCGCTATCCCGTCGCTGAACAGTTCGAGCGAGTACTAGGGACTGAGGTGTCCATGCGTCCCGATGAACGTCCAGGGTAGTTTACAAGCTATCTATAGACCGTTAAGCGCCTTGGCAGCGCCGATCCCAAGTTGGCCACCAACAAGGGCCCTAATCCTACAAACAGCGACGTCGGCAAACAGCACCATTTTACAAAGCCGAGTGCTTTTATTTGGTGACCTTTTTACATACGCCCACAGAGCAAGAAGGGGAAAAACAAATCACTTAAATGTTACACTACTAATATTAGGGTCGGTTGAGTCTGTGTTTTGGTTTGTTTCTCCCCTTATTTTGTATTCTTTTTCAAGCCGGGTGCTATTGATTACTTTGTCAGCCTGACAGAATCCCCAGGATGGGCTGGCTGGTCATTCTTTGTTTGCAGGTGGCTCGCTGGTTTTGATTGCTCATTTATCAATCAATTAATAATTGTCTCGAACTGTTTTATTATTTGTTGAGGCATGGGAAAAGAGGGGGCGCCGTTGTTACTACTGTTACTATTGCTATTGCTGCTGTTATTGTCATATTACTATTGCCATGTTTCGATTACCCCATCCATTATTCCTGTTTTATTTTACACTTTTTACTGTTACTTCACTGGTCTTTGTTAATGCTGCCTGGCAGCCTAATGGGTTACACCCGCGTGGCCTTCATATTGGAGAGGGAGACGGGGGAATTCGTGAAAATAATAAGGATAGCATTTACTTTAATTACATAGATAACTAATCTTGATCTATACCATCTATACATACTGTGAATATAACCCCGATATATTCCCCAGGACAACCACCTCCAGTAGTCCGCTCCCTTTATATGATCTCTAAACTAGCCCCAACTAATACCATATAGATATCCTCCTATCCTGACCCAACCCTCAAGAAGAGACCAATTCCAGCCCATAAGCAAGACATCTTATCATTCTTACCTCTTTATCCAGCCCAGCCTAACCCAACCTAACATAACCTCCTCCTATCGAAGTAAACCCCCCACATCTACCGACCCGCCAAGCCGTTACCCCAAGTATAACAAGCCCACCCAGATACAATACTACCTAGCTATATAAACCACCTTACCTATACTTACACAAATGACAAATTAACCTTCCTAGTAAACTTACCACTAATCAGACCACCCACCCACACCACCGGTCTCTCCCGGTCCCCCGGGTCCAGCTTCCGCTCGGGTGTGTATGATGTGTCTGTGCCGTGCCCATGGGTGTTGGGTAGGACAAAGGACAAAGAGATATTGATCTTGTCAGAGGGGGAATACTACCCTAGTTATTTATATCTTCAACTTTAGGTATGTCTCACTACGGTGGTAGGTAATAGTCGGCTTAGGAGGATGTGTGGATAATCTCACCCGCAGGCTGGCTCTAAGTATACTACTTATCGTATGGGGAACTTTAATTTATTCATGGTGGCTGGCGATAGAGGCGCGTCGGGGTTGAAAGGAGAAGGATTGTTGGATGGCGTTGGAGGGCCGGATCGGATTCCTAGATTGGGATTGTCTTTGTCTTCATGTTGAGCCGGACGGAAGATCGACGGGGTGAATCAGCACAGACACAGACACAGATATCTAGTAGTTATCGTGCTGGGTTGGTTGTTCAAGTAGGGAATAAGTAACAAAAAGGGATATATTTAATTTTAATGGACATCCATCCCGAATATCCCCGGAACGCGCGCGCGAAAAACCAAGAGAAAAGAAAGATAAACGTCCAGTCCACACTTATCACCCAAGGTTGTCTTAGATATGCGAGAAAAGTGAAAAAAGTTTTAGAAATCTTCCCTGATCTTTTTTTCATTCTTCATAAGAGGGAGGGGGAATTCGTGATATGATAGAGGGAAAAGAAAAAAAGGAAACGTAAAAAAAAGGGAAAACATAGGCGGATTATGCGGTGCCCGCCCCATACGGTAGGTAGAATAGAGGGAGAGTTAAAAAGAAACCATGAAACGAGTTTGATGATAACGCCCTCATTCACATACACACACGACAACCACACACACCAACCCAGTGTTCTTCTTTTTTCCTTTTCCCCCTCATATCCAGCAGGGAATAAAAAAAAATTGAAACAATTTTTCCTTTCTTCTTTTTTCACTTCAGGCCCGGGTCCGCATGTCGACGTTCGTCTCCTTCTTCTAATTCTTCGTCGTCGTCCGAGTAGTAAGGTATCCGATGATCCGAAAGTGAATTCGAATCCTGCAACGACCCCCCTCTCTCTCAACCGCACGGAATTCCATCGTGACGATCCGCTTAGTCCTTGTTCTTCTTGGGGCCCTTGGTCTTGGCGGTACCGCGGAACTTCTTGGAGCGGTTCTTCCGTTGCTTGCCTGTAGGGATGTGAGTATTGGTTCGGTTTTCGAACGATTGATGAAATAGTATAGGTGGGTGTGAACATACGCTGCTGTCTGCTGGGCTTCTCGACCTTTGTGCCAGCACCGATGCGGACCAGACGGTAGAGGGGCTCGAACTTCTTCAGGGCCTCCTGGGAGTCGTAGATGAGAGCGAAGCCAGTGCTCTTACCACCACCGTACTGCGTACGGAAACCGAAGACGGAGACCTGGTCCTTGTTGGACTTGTACAGGTCGGCGAGCTTGTCGCGGAGCTCGTCCTTGGAGACGTTGGCGCGGTTGGGGTGGAGGACATCCCTGTTGGAAAAGAAAATCAATCATCAGCATGCCGTTTATTCCTTTGCTGGTTTGCCCCATATCCAGGTTGTCTGTCCAATATGTCCGAATTTCAATAATCGATATTGAAACACACACAAACAAAATATATTGTAGTATATACTTGGAGTGTGCTCAAAAATCGATCATTTCCATCCGGACAAGTTTTCCTCCTCCTAATCCTCCTCTTGTTGTATCCGTTTGTATTCTCCTTTTCCTTTCCTCCTTCCTTTTCTTCCAGCTCGATGGTGAAGGGAGCTTACACGACCATCTGCTTGCGAGCAAGCAGGGGGTTGCGGATGAACTTGCGAGTCCGCAGGGTAACGGGAGCGTCGGCCATGGTTGCAGGTGCAGTTGACAGCGAGAATCTGCGTGCGACAGGGAGAAGCTGAAGGGCAGAAACGGGGGGGCGCGGGTTGTCGAAGTCGCTGTCAGTCGTTGGCGGGCTCGAGATGCGCTCGATTCAATTTTGGCAGAGTTTCGTTGTGCATCGCCTGTGGGCTCGGCTAGGCTACACTAGCCGGATATAGTTAGAATATTACCCTTTGTGGGTGTATCCTTAGTAATACATACCTTACCAGATACAGTTAGACCTAATGAACTAGATAATTATGCTAGGGTAGCGCATTGCTTACTAACTTATCCAATCCACTAAGATAACTAGTTACTTATCAGTATCATCGAACTATTCTATAGTCACTTTTTATCTCAACTACAGAGATTCAATAGTTATACAAAATGTCTCTCTCCCTCCTCACAGCCCAATACTTCCAACAACTCGATCCCCATCTCCTCACCTTCCCCGAAGACAATTACCTCCTCCACCCCACCACCCAAGAAACCATCTACAATACTCTCTTCTCCGAATCCCACGCCGCAAATGACCATCCCCTCCCCCCACCCGCCTACCGCACGCGCGTGCTCAAGCGCCTCATCACAAAACTAGAATCCCTACTCTCCAACCCCGAGGAGGATGTACGCTGATCCTGATCCATATCCCTTGAGTATGCGCTGCATACCCTCCCTCTCTCTTTCTCTCTCCAATTCCCTCCTACACCCTCCCCCTCACTAACCCAATTTTATTCAATCCAAAAATAGGAAATCAACGAATCCCTCCTCGAAGAATACAGCACGCTTCTCACCCTCCCCAAACCCTCCTCAATCGAACAAGCCCAACAACTCACCTACATCACCTACACCGCGCCACCAGAAGATAACCCTCACCATTCCTCACCCCAATGGAACGAGCGGAGAACAATCCTCACCTCCGAATCCCGCTCCGCAATCATAACCGCCGGCACAACCGGCCACCGAACTTGGGAAGCGGCACTGCATCTCGCCACGTACCTCTCTACGGCAGCAGGACGGGCGCACATCACCGGGAAGAAAGTCCTTGAGCTCGGCGCCGGCACGGGCCTCGTGTCGATGTTCTGTGCGAGGTATCTTGAGCCGGAGGTGGTGGTGGCTACGGATCGGGAGCTGGGGTTGATGAGGCAGATAGGGGACTGCGCGCGACGGAATGGGTTAGCTGGAGATGGGGATGGGGTGTTTAAGGGGTGGATTTGGGAGTGGGGGAGGGAGTTGTCTAGGGGTGTTGGTGAGGATGACGATGACACCCAAATGAAGGAGGATGGTGAGGTGGATGGTGAGAAGGTAGAGTTTGATGTTGCGCTGGGTGCGGATCTGGTACGTTATTCTCTTTCTTTCCTTTCTTCATGTTCATTGGGTTGTATACCATGGATGGACAATGTGCAACTCTGGACCGGGTTACTGGGTGCAATCGCCTAATCTGGAGCGAGTTTCCTGGTTCATATTTTCAGCATTGTCCACTCCATCCTTTTCTTTTCCCTTCCCTTCCCTTGGGTATGGTAGCTACGCTACGTAGCTCTATGGTGTGCATCATGCTGTGTTGTGTTGTGTACTGTGCTGCTGTGTCGCGTTGCACTACATACCTACCTACCTACCTCACCTCACCCCAACCCAGAAGTTAAATGGTACTGACAAACACTCATCCAGATCTACGACATCGACCTCGTCCCCCTCCTCGTGCAGACCGTCAAATCCCTCTTCGAGAAATACGCCGTCAAGGAATTTCTCATCTCCGCGACATTACGCAATGAGCGTACTTTTGGCGCGTTTTTGAATGCTTGTGGTGCGTTTGTCCCTTCCCGTTTCTCAAACACCGATATGGATATTATTCATGTCTCTGTGTGTGTGTGAAACCAACTAACGGAATGTGCGTGTCGAGCAGAGGAGAGTGCGTTGAAGGTGGAACAGGTTCCGTTTGAGTCGCCGGCGGAGGAAGTGCAGACGGGGTTTTTTCATTCCACGGTTATTCCGATTAGGACG